CAACCACAAAAAAATCTGCTCTGTTTTTTCCCATGCGGCTCGGCAAGCGGGCCTCTTCGCCTGGCGCGCCTCTTTGCTTTGTTGAGCTTCCACCTTTTCTGCCTGCACACAGAAAATCAACAGGGCCCACAGCTTTCGAGGGTCGAGGTAGTCAAAGGATCCAGGGGCCCAAGGGTTCGAAAGCAAAAAGGGCCTAGTGGAAACAAGCAAAACACTGAGTGGAAACAAGCAAAACACTAACGAAGCATGGGTAGTTTGAGCCCTTCTTGCCCTGCGCAATCTATTTACCTCCTGCGCGCCACGGGCTCTTCAGAGGAACCTCTGGCATCCTTCTGCAGCTGCCGCTTGCCATGGGCTGCGCTTGGCAGCTCCGTGGGCAGCCACTCACGCCACCCATGCCACTGCTCCATGGCATACACGTGGACACAATGGCCTTTGTGTTGAAACAGCCAGCACGTGCAAGATGAAGTTTTGTCACTGTCCTTCAGAATTACCACCGCATGCTGCGCCCACAGCGCTTGCAGCTTGTCGAATTTCACTTTGCAAGTGGCACCGTCTCCGTCTCCCTCTGTGCTGACCACGCCATGTTCTTGCCAGAGGCGTTGGAGATGGTCTGGCCTCCTCGCCCGGATCTGAGCCACCAGCTGCTTGCAGGTCTCCGCACTCATTTCCCCAGGCTGCGACAGCCGCATCGCGCAATACTTCATGGCCGTGCTTTTCTCGAACCGGACGGCTACCTTGCGCCGGGCCTTGCAAGCACGCAGGATGGCCCCAATTGGCTGAACCTTCGCAACATGACCGCCTGGCCGCCTGATGTTCACTGACTCTCGGCCAAGCATCCAAGCGTCTGGGGAGTTTGGGCGCTCAGGCAGGAGATCCCCACGGGCGGCAAACAAAGTCATCGGCCCATTGACCAGGGGCTGCACGGGAGATTGCGACCAAGCCATAGCTGCTTCCTTCAAGCTGCGAATGACTGCTGAATGCGTAGAGAGGTCATCATTCAAGGACGCCACATCCCTTTTCAGCTTGCGGTTAAATTGCTCTCTGGGCTGCATGGTTGGCCCATGCCCAACACCGAACCCAAGGCCGGCACCTCTCCACCAACGCGCTGTTTAGCGTCGGAAGACTACGGGAAGACGGAAGACTGCCGAAGACTACGGGAAGACTGCCGGAAGACCACGGGATGCCAGCGTCGGAAGACTACGGGAAGACTGCCGAAGGCTACGGGAAGACTGCCGGAAGACTGCGGGATGCCGAAACCTAAAAAAAGCAAGGTCTGGGGGCCGAAAGTGAGCATTTCGAGCACACCTCGGCCGGAGAGGCCCGAAATGAGCGTGTTCGGCCTCCAAACGCTGCATTTTCTTGGTTTTAGCGTCGGCAAACTACGGGAAGACTGCCGAAGGCTACGGGAAGACTGCCGGAAGACTACGGGATGCCGAAACCTAAAAAAAGCAAGGTCTGGAGGCCGAAAGTGAGCATTTCGAGCACACCTCGGCCGGAGAGGCCCGAAATGAGCGTCTTCGGCCTCAAGACTACGGGAAGACTGCCGGAAGACTACGGGATGCCGAAACCTAAAAAAAGCAAGGTCTGGGGCCCGAAAGTGAGCATTTCGAGCACACCTTGGCCGGAGAGGCCCGAAATGAGCGTCTTCGGCCTCCAAACGCTGCATTTTCTTGGTTTTAGCGTCGGAAGACTACGGGAAGACGGAAGACTGCCGAAGACCACGGGAAGACTGCCGGAAGACCACGGGATGCCAGCGTCGGAAGACTACGGGAAGACTGCCGAAAGCTACGGGAAGACTGCCGGAAGACTACGGGATGCCGAAACCTAAAAAAAGCAAGGCCTGGGGCCCGAAAGTGAGCATTTCGAGCACACCTCGGCCAGAGAGGTCCGAAATGAGCATCGGCCTCCAAAGGCTGCATGGTTTGGTTTTAGCGTCGGCAAACTACGGGAAGACTGCCGAAGGCTACGGGAAGACTGCCGGTAGACTTACGGGATGCCGAAACCTAAAAAAAGCAAGGTCTGGTGGCCGAAAGTGAGCATTTCGAGCACACCTCGGCCGGAGAGGCCCGAAATGAGCGTCTTCGGCCTCCAAACGCAGCATTTTCTTGGTTTTAGCGTCGGAAGACTGCGGGAAGACGGAAGACTGCCGAAGACTACGGGAAGACTGCCGGAAGACTACGGGATGCCAGCGTCGGAAGACTACGGGAAGACTGCCGAAGGCTACGGGAAGACTGCCGGAAGACCACGGGAACCTAAAAAAAGCAAGGTCTGGGGGCCGAAAATGACACCTCGGCTGGAGAGGCCCGAAATGAGCGTCTTCGGCCTCCAAACGCTGCATTTTCTTGGCTTTAGCGTCGGAAGACTACGGGAAGACGGAAGACTGCCGAAGACTACGGGAAGACTGCCGGAAGACTACGGGATGCCAGCGTCGGAAGACTACGGGAAGACTGCCGAAGGCTATGTTTGAGTGTTTATGGTTTTTTTTTTGAAAGGGAAGCTGCCGGAAGACTACGGGAGCCGAAACCTTAAAAAAAGCAAGGTACCGGGGGCCGAAAGTGAGATTTCGAGCACACCTCGGCCGGAGAGGCCCGAAATGAGCGTGTTCGGCCTCCAAACGCTGCAATTTCTTGGTTTTAGCGTCGGCAAACTACGGGAAGACTGCCGAAGGCTACGGGAAGACTGCCGGAAGACTACGGGATGCCGAAACCTAAAAAAAGCAAGGTCTGGAGGCCGAAAGTGAGCATTTTCGAGCACACCTCCGGCCGGGAGGCCCGAAGTGAGCGTCTTCGGCCTCCAAACGCTGCTATTTTTCTTGGTTGTTTTTATTTTTTTTTTTTTTTTTTTTTTTTTTTTTTTTTTTTTTTAGCGTCGGAAGACTACGGGAAGACGGTACGACTGCCGATGACTACGGGATGCCGAAACCTAAAAAAAAGCAAGGTCTGGAGGCCGAAAGTGAGCATTTCGTTCGGCCTCCAAACGCTGCAATTTTCTTGGTTTTAGCGTCGGAAGACTACGGGAAGACGGAAGACTGCCGAAGACTACGGGAAGACTGCCGGAAGACCACGGGATGCCAGCGTCGGAAGACTACGGGAAGACTGCGGAAGACTACGGGATGCCGAAACCTAAAAAAAGCAAGGTCTGGGGGCCGAAAGTGAGCATTTAAAAATTCGAGCACACCTCGGCTGGAGAGGCCCGAAATGAGCGTCTTCGGCCTCCAAACGCTGCATTTTCTTGGTTTTAGCGTCGGAAGACTACGGGAAGACGGAAGACTGCCGAAGACTACGGGAAGACTGCCGGAAGACCACGGGATGCCAGCGTCGGAAGACTATGGGAAGACTGCCGAAGGCTACGGGAAGACTGCCGGAAGACTACGGGATGCCGAAACCTAAAAAAAGCAAGGTCCGGGGGCCGAAAGTGAGCATTTCGAGCACACCTCGGCCGGAGAGGCCCGAAATGAGCGTGTTCGGCCTCCAAACGCTGCATTTTCTTGGTTTTAGCGTCGGCAAACTACGGGAAGATTGCCGAAGGCTACGGGAAGACTGCCGGAAGACTACGGGATGCCGAAACCTAAAAAAAGCAAGGTCTGGAGGCCGAAAGTGAGCATTTCGAGCACACCTCGGCCGGAGAGGCCCGAAATGAGCGTCTTCGGCCTCCAAACGCTGCATTTTCTTGGTTTTAGCGTCGGAAGACTACGGGAAGACGGAAGACTGCCGAAGACCACGGGAAGACTGCCGGAAGACTACGGGATGCCGAAACCTAAAAAAAGCAAGGTCTGGGGGCCGATTCGAGCACACCTCGGCCGGAGAGGCCCGAAATGAGCGTCTTCGGCCTCCAAACGCTGCATTTTCTTGGTTTTAGCGTCGGAAGACTACGGGAAGACGGAAGACTGCCGAAGACCACGGGAAGACTGCCGGAAGACTGCCGGAAGACTACGGGATGCCGAAACCTAAAAAAAAGCAAGGTCTGGGGGCCGAAAGTGAGCATTTGGAGAGGGCCCAAAAGCAACACACGTTCTTGCCGAAACGGGAAGACTGCCGGAAGGGGATGCCGAAACCTAAAAAAAGCAAGGTCTGGCCGCGAGCACACCTCGGCCGGAGAGGCCCGAAATGAGCGTCTTCGGCCTCCAAACGCAATTTTCTTGGTTTTAGCGTCGGAAGACGGGAAGACGGAAGACTGCCGAAGACTAACTAAAAAAAAGCAAGGTCCGAAAGTGAGCATTTGGAGAGGGCCCAAAAGCAACACACGTTCTTTGGAACCAGGATGTTTGGCGCGTAGTTCGTGCAAAAAGCGGCGTGGTAACTGCTCGTTTTTCGGCGCGGTTACTGGCAATACTTTGCGGCGCGGTTACTGCACGATCTCTTTTTAGGTTGGTTTGGTTCATACTAGATGGGTTCCACTGGTTTGGATGGGGTGTATTCCATTTGCCAGGGCCATCAATTTTTCCAAAGGGCCACCTATGAACCTTGCGATTCAATCTTTGGCGATGCTCGATCCGCCAAAACAACCCACGGTTCGAAGTTTTTGAACCTCTCTCTTTCGCACCGACAAAGGCTCGCTTTGAAGTAATGAATCTTTGAGTTTATGATCATCACTGTTGGAATTGATTTTTCGGCGAACGTGACTATTATCCCACTGGCCAGCAAAAGAAAGTTCAGCTGTTTGAAGGGAGCTTTAACCTTTCGACTTGTTCAATGGCATTTTGGTGTGCCTTCAATAGATGGGTTTCCCTTTATCATGGAACCCCCTTTTCATTGGGGCGTCTCTTATGACCCCTAAAATGGACGCCTTTCCTTTGTTTCATTTCGCTTGGATGTCAGGACTTTTTAACCTTTTGCAAACTAAGGGGTTTTCCGCATTAAACCACTAAAAGTTAGTTAAACTTTTCGCAGGGGAGCAGATTTCGCCACCGAGTTTCCAATTTTCCCTTTTCCCTTTCGACAAGCCCGCCGTCCCAGCGCAAAATTTTGTTGGGCCGAGGCCTATTCCACAAGCTCACCATGGGCTTTGCGGTGGTGGGGGTCATCAACGGCGTGCTCATGCAGGACGGAAAAGACCCGCGTGCTCGGCGTGCTCGGGGCCGGGGGGGTTTTCCCGTTTTCTGTGTTTTTCTTCCGCGGTCTTTCTGCGAGGGGACCCCTTCGTGGGGGTGGGTTTAAAGAGAAGCCGAAAGGAAAGACACTGTTTTGGGGGGAGAGGCTATGGGGTGTATAATCTCACTACAGTGGGTCGGGTTTTCCGCGCCGTCACGAAAGCCCTGCAATTGATTTGCGTGGGGCCTGAAGCTGGTTTCTGGCTGGCTTACTTGTGGCTTGTGGTTTGGTTCAGCGCTGGGTCACGAAAGCCGTGGAAGTTTAAACGTGTGCGTGGCTGGTGGCTGGAGGGCTGAACCCTAGTCTTGACCAGGGATGAATCGACCCCAGTTTATCACTATGGGGGTGTCCCTGGTTTTATTGGGGATTTCTCGCTTTTGGATGGGACCACCCCCCCATATTCATAAGGGGTTGATTAATCCAGGGTCAACATCACAAGATGGGGCTTTGCCGGGTTTTGCAGGGGATTTGTCGCTTTTGGAGGGGCCAAAACCACCCCCATGTTCATAAGGGGTTGATTCATCCAGGGTCAACATCAAGTTGCCCCGGCAACCCGCTCGGGCGGGATTTGGACGTGCGTGGATTAGCTCCCAACTTCCGGACGGGAGTCGTAGGCGGAGCAGGTGTCCTTTTTGGTTGATTTGGCCGAAGATGGAGGGCCATTTGGTTGATTTGGTTGACTTGGTTGAAACATTTGGTTGATTGGGTTGATTTGGTTCACCTGGTGGTTCAATGAACTACCAGGGAAACCTATCTATTCTCCCAAAAAGGACCTATGTGGAGTACTCTTCCGGCTCGAAGACCGCCTGCGCAAGTCAGGTTCTGCAAGTCATTCTGGCGCTCGTCGTTTTTGCTCGAGTCACTTTGTGCAAGTGTTTTTTCTTTTGGGCCTCAGAGTGCAGTGCGTCAAGCACCTTCCGCACCTCGAACGTCGCAACTTTTAAGTGCAAGAGCAGCGGGCGACGTGCTCGATCGCAGCTCCGGCTCAAAAATCACAAGCTTTAAGTGCGAACGTAGCACGGCTCCAAAACCAACAGCTTTCCTAGCACGAAACATAGAACGCGAAGCGTGTGTCCATTCTTTTCAGCTTACCCAGTAAGTTTTCGCAAGTTACCGGGTGCAAGTCTGTCGGCGTCGCAACACGCAAGCCACTCTGCAAGTATCTCTACGCAAGTCGCACAGCAAAAGTTGTTCTTCGCAAGCCGCATTGACACGCAAGGCGAGGTACCTTGCGCGAGTTGCTGCGCGCAAGTCGCTTTGCGCAAGTCACTCTGTGTAAGTGACTCCACCGAAGGTGCCAGTGCTTTGGCCGGAAGAACCTTCATTGTTGCTTGCGGCAAAAGCAACAATGAACTTGAGTCGGGCAGACTTCGCCAAGCAGCGCAATGACAGTGAGAGTCCGACCAAACCAAGAATCCAACGCACGAAAACACACCAGTGGAGCGTTGCAGAAGCATGTCAACATGGTCAAACAGCTTCTGTTCCTGTAAACAGCCTCTTTTGTTGAAACTTCTGTCAATGAGCTTTGCTGGGCACACCTGGTCACGAGAGCGCATAGTACAAAACGCAGCCACACCAGACACGACCAAACAACCAACCAAACAAACAGCCAACCAACCAACCAACCAACCAACCAAACAACAACAGGCTTTGACAATTATGGCTTTGTAGTGGTCCAAAACATGGATAGTGATGTTGATTGTTGTTGTTTTTTGCACCTCGCTGCCACTTTCCTGGTTGGGAAGTCGAATGGGTCACCGTTTCAACGATTTGCTCCCAGACGCGCTAGGAGACCTTCAAGGTCGCCCACATGGACGACACCGTCATGGTCCGGGAGAAGCAGAGGGCGATCAGGGCCCACGTGCAAAAGATGCCACTCGGCCGTTCGTTGGGCGAGGCGAAAACAGATATCGGAGCCAAAGGTTTGGGGTTGGTTTTGAAGGGAAACCAAAAAGCACACCCACCATTCTTCCACCCTCCACCCCCCCCTCTTCCACCCTCCACCCCCACACCTCCCAAGCCCCACGCCCACACCACCCGCCCCCCTGCTCCATCCCCCTTCACCCGGGGTTTTTACACATTTCCCTTTTTGGGCGGTTTTGGCCATCACCTTGTCGGCCCACGAAAGGCAGCCGAGCCTTTCTCGGGGGAAAAACTAGGTCCGCCAGCGAAAGGGTGCCCGACCTCTCACCCACCTTTTTGGGTTGGGAGGTTCGGTTCCCCTAGAAAACTCGACCTTCCAGAAGAAAAAATCGTTGGCACCCACTTATTCTTCGCTCTCAAACGACTGGAGGACCGTTTCGCCCCCCCGATCCGTTTCGGGGCCAAACTCGTCTTTTGAGCGGATCTTCCCAAAATGGGGCCTGGCAGTCTTCAAGGGGAAGAAAGCCAACCCCGGGGAAACCAACCAAACCTGAAACTGGAGGAATGGCAGTTTCAAGGGGAAGAAAGCCCACCCCGGTTTTTTTTTTCTTCCACCCGCCCTCCGCCTTTCGCCGGGATCGATCGGAGGTCCCTCCTCTTCGAGGAGGCGGACACCTCGGGGGACGGCCGCGTGGACCTCGCGGAGTTCAAGCGGATCCTGGACGACCACGAGGCGCCTGCGGCGCGCCGCAGGGGGCCGGCGCGGGTTTTTTTGTTTTTGCTTTCTCACCCTGTGGGACATATTGTTCAGCTCTTGGTTTTAAAGGGAAGCTAGAAGCTAGGCAGCGGGGGGCCAAATTTGCCCTAGTTTTTTTGTTGTTTATCGCCTGTTGGTTTTAAGGGGGACTCTAGCACCTAGTGGACATATTTCTTTTCTCCTTGTCTGCCAGCGGACGTTGGAGCGCAACTGGACGGCGGGGTGCCGCTGGAGCGAAAGTGATGACGCCAGATGACCCCCTAATCAACCCCAGTTTAATAGGGGGGTGGGGTCTAGGCCCCTCCAAAAGTGAACCATCCCCCATCTTAATAAACAGGGGTGTATTTATAGGGGGTGTTCATTATTTGGAGCCATCAAGTTTAGGGTTGAAGGGAGTTCATGGTCAAACGACCTACCTGGATCGCCAGTTGCTGCCTTCTCCGCCAGTTTTTAGGGTAAAGTGTCTGGAAAAAAATAGCAATTAGGCTAGGTACTTACTGGGGTTGCCAGGGATGGCATCATCCTCTCAGGGGTTTTAGTCAACGCATGTTGCCGAGTGTGACCCACACTAAGGGTGTTCATGGCACACTGGCACAGATGTGGGCATGACATTGAATAATTGGAACACCCTCAACCTGGTGCATACAAATCCCCATAGAAATGATGTCCACCAGGAGTCCCATGCTAGTTTTGGGGGGGAGTTGGAGAGTTGTGAGAGTTGTGGGATTTGGAGTATGGACCAGCTGGACGTTGAATTCTCCAGGCAGCGCTGTCGCCACAAGTCGGAGCGAGAGGTTGGGATTCTGCACAGACAGCGAGCTTGCCCATGAAGTTCCCTTTTGGGATACCCTCCCACCAACTAACATGGAAGTGCAAAAAGGCCCTTTTCCAGAGGAAAATCGCCTTTCTGCAGGGGCCCGTGCACTTCCATGTTAGTTGGTGGGAGGGTAACATATGTCGTAGTTTCTCACGAAGCAAGTGAGGTGGGTCTCCTTTTGAAAGCTCGAGAAGACTGGGCTGTTCAAAGGCAATCCTCAATCCTTACCTTGGGTTACACAAGCAACTGGTTTTCTTGTGGCTTCCAATCATTGCTCAGCAGGGAATGAGAGATGGAATGACCCCTGGGTTGATTCCAATTCTCGTTCCCTACTTATCGCACCGATGGCAAGAAAGTGCCACCAGCTCCTTTGCGGACTTTCTTCAGGTGAAGGTCTGGCTGGCCGCCATGGACGTGGCGCCCTGGATCTTTGAGTATTGGCCTGCTGTTTTTTTAAGAGTTGGCTGGGCAAACACAGGCGTCCAAAATGGGTTTGGAACCCGAAGTGGAAGTATGAAACCTGCGGTCCAATTCCTGGTTTACTTTTCACCCATACCCTTCATGGTTAGGGACATGGCAGAGCCTCCATTGGCATCTCGCTCAATGGCATCTCTTTTGCATGTGGGCAACATGTACCTAGCACAACAGTTCAATGTGGTTGAAACAGTTCAAGTGGTTGCTTAGCTCACATTGGTGTGTGATTGCGCTCGAGTCCATGACTGTATTTGTTTGACCCCCACCCATCCTTTTTCGGGCCCATGTACCAAAAGAAAGATCAAGCCGAGGTTTGCCAAGGCCAGTTTGAAGTCAAGTGAGACCAGCGAGCCTTCGAGGATGTCAGCGACGTGGACGAGCTCTTTTCCATGCTGGACGATGGAGCGGATGGGCGGCTTTCTGCCGAGGACACCCAGAAACGCGTCGTTTCGACTCACCGCGTGGTTGGTCGATGGTGGTTGCTCGTTGTCGGGTAGGCCAGGGGTCCTCACCATGAGAGGCGGCCGTGAGGTTCGGTTCATGGTCCAAATGGCTATTGGACTCGTTGGTGGACATCAGAATTGAATTTTGTGGGGATTTATGTCCAGGTGGTTCCCTACTAAGATTCATGGCCAAATGGAAAATTGGGGACCCATCCAGGCAGGCCCCTTTTTGGTTTCCCTTCAAACCAAAAAGGGGTCCCTATTTTGAGAACCCCCCCTATGAAATATGGATAATTTGGGAGGGCTCTGGGTTGAGCTCGCTGAATTTCTCACACGGTGGGCGAACAGCTTTGAGCACTGGTGCACGCCGCATGCCTTTGTCAGCAGGAAGTGGCACCCAGTTTCCAGGGCACCCAAAAATGGCCAATGGCTTCCCGATTTGTCGACCCAGCCACATGGATAAGAGGAAAGCAACCCACCATTTGAGCCCGGAAGCCCGCTGAGAGCTCGTAGAGCTGGTTTTTGTTTGTCATTCCTAGGCTCCCCAAGCCATTTTTCCGCGGTTGCAATCCTTTTTTTCCGCCCTTCCACCCCAGCAAACCCCAGCAGCAGATTTTACTCTCAGCCCAACTCCGCAACCCAAGCCGCAAGACGGGCTGCCCGAAAAATTCGCATGAGCCTCAGCCGAAGCCTAAGCCAGCAGCTTGCCGGTGATGCTCGGGGTGCTGGCGACCGGATGCTGGCGATTCGACGTTCCTTAACTTCGCCTCGGATTTACTTTAAGCATTTTGGGCATGCTCTTCTTCAGCGGAAACAAAGAATCAGGAGAATCAGGAGGACAAAAAAGCCGGAAAGCCACCGAACCATCCAGATTTATCATTTTGCACGCCGGTCTTTTTAAGCCACAAAAACCCGAAAGCTATGCGGTCTCGAGGGTTCCGGAGATTTGGTTCCAGCAATGTCCGGGTCCGTTGAGGATACCAGCTGGGCTTCTGTTTATCAGCTTCCTTCCAATTGATGGTTTGGATTGGTTTGGCTTTGGATTTGAACCCCTGGTTCTTGTCTCTCCTTAGCCACCAAAAACCACCCAACCACCAAACCACCTTTTGTTTTGGAAGGAAGCGGATGTGTTTCTGTGTGTGTGTGTGTGTTTTTGATAATAAAGCCACCTTAAGCCACCTTTTTTTGTTCTCGGAAGGAAGGGGACGTGTTTTTTCTTGGAGAGGGGGGGAGGGGAGGGGAGAAACGTGGGTGTGGCTCAAAATTAAACAGAAGGGGTAACGCACGTTTTGGTCCACGTTTCCTTTCACCAGGGTTCTATTCCCACAGCCATGTGTGTTTTTTTTGGTACCGGTTGTTTTAGCCACTGCCACGTTTCTTTTTTGGGGGAGGGGGGAACATGGTCGTTGTTGGGAAACATTTCACATTCTTGCTTATTGTGGTTTAGTGGTTGAAATCCCACCACTTAACAGCTAAAAGTGAGAAATTGTTGCGCTCCCCAAACCCAACGTGAACCAAGGGGAGGGTTTTGCTCCCCAAACCCAACGTCAACCAAAATAAGGGGAGGGGAAAGGCCTAGCTCCAGGAGTTGGTGGCGGGCATCTCCAAGCTGCAGGGCGTCGCAAAGGCGATGGACCTGCGCAAGGTGATCCGTGCCTCGGCGGGTCCGGGGAAAGCTGCGCGCTGCTTTTCCCCCCCGGTGGGTTGCCCCAGCCATGTGGATGGCTGCCTAGGTCCCCCAGCAATTGGTGCCCTTTCTCACCCTTTCTTGTTTGGGTGGGAGATTCGGTTCCCCGACTAAAATAGACGACAGGAAAAAAGGGGGTACCAACTTATTCTAACCTCTGAAATCTGGAGGACCTGGTTGCGCAATCCATTTAGAGAAACCAGCGTTCAGAAACCCTGGAATTTCCATAGGTTTCAACTTTTTGGGTTGGTTTGGTTGGTTTACCTGGTTTCTGGTTTACCTGGTTTACCTGGTGGTTCAATCATCTACCAGGGCCATCGATCTTCCAAAAAGGACGCCGATGCTGGTTCTGATTCGATTCCCCTAGACTACCAACAAACGTTATGGCTTCAACCACGGCACCAGCCATACAGTTCCTTAGCTTTTTAGCTTGTTAGAGGTTTAGTGGTTGGGTTTCGGGAATTTCACCAAAGTTATCGACTTTTAGCAACAAAAATCTGAGGAGAGCCCAGAAAACGGGAGGCGCCCCGTGGGAGGGTACCTGGAAGATCAGTTTCCCCCTGTGAGATGTAGCTCCGGAATTGATTCCCGGCGCTTGCTGGTAAATGTTGACCCGAGAAAAACGAAGACCGCGAATCAAGAATCAAGAACGGTGTCTTCCCCTCCAAAAATGATGACTCCCCACTGAGCCTGGGACACCCCCATTCCTAAACTCGGTTTGATCGATCCGGGTGAACATTAGAGAATCTTTTGGAAAGCGGAAGCTTTTGGCCCGTTGAGAGGAACCGGAAAGTGCCCTGCATGGAAAATACGGCCCTCCCTTGCAAGGGGATGGCTTGTAAGTTTCGTTCCTTCACCAGAATCTGGGTATGTCTGTTTTGAGGGCAGTGGTTCTTAGGGGACATCAAGAGGAACACCCACCAGTTTGGGGGCCCCCGGAAAAAAAAAGAACAACAAACACCAACAAAACAACAACATACCCCTCTGGGAAACTGGCGGCGCTCCATGCAAGCTCTTTGGGAGCCTTAAAGCTGCCACATCCTCGGTCGACTGAATAAGCTTCTAAGCCAGGGCCAGAGGCCGTAGATTTGTCCCATCAATGGAAAGAGTTCGCCACATGCCACCCCAGCAGGGCCCCCGTTTTTTTTCTTCTTTTTTTTCTTTTTTTTTTTTTTAAAAAATTATTTTGGTTTCCCCACAGCTTGGAGGGAATGCTGCTCTTGGCGCCTGGACTTTTTGTGAGGAGCTCATGAAGTATCCAAAGTGGTTTCTTTTTGGCAAGGGATCAACGGAACTGGGCGGTGAAAGACCTTAAATCTTGCCTATTCCTTGTATCGGTGGGCCAATTTTGATGGGGTGATGTTTCAAGGCGCTTTGTATAGGGGTCTGCTTTTGATTTGGATACCTGCCTGTTTGACCGTTTCTTTTCGGGGGCTCCCCTTGCTATCTTTCTTCCCAGTCTTTCGATTCAGCAGCCTTTCACGTCGACGCGCTGTAAAATCTGCAGGGAAGCACGAGGAGATGAACCAGAGCCTTGCGTGCGTCATGTCCAGACCTGCGACGGTCACTGAAAAGGAGGAGGAGGACTATGTCGGCTTCTGATGGGTTCAATTCGAGCCCGTGCCGCCGAGTTTGTTCCGTGGCAGTGCCGAGACCGCAAAAAGGCGGTGAGCCAGTATGTGCACTGGGCTGATTTTACCAGATGGTTGAGCAAGACAGTTTCAGATGGCACCTTCCCCACCAGGACTTTCAGGGTAACTGGTGTCTCCTTAAGAACAGTTGAGGTTGATCAAGTATGCTGGAAAGACAACAACATATCATTTTTAACGTACCCATTTCTACATATATATATATATATGTAATATTATATATATATTATTGTACATATATACATATAGAACACTTGTTACATGGTTTTACCCATTGGGAGGTAAGATCATCCCATTTCAACTCCCGAGCCTAAGGCTTCGAGGACTGCGAGTTCCATTCTCAACCTGCGCCTTTCCGTAGCGCGGGAATTCGCGGCCTGTCCGGTCAAAAGGAAGAGGAACGATTTTACAGCCATTTTCCAGTCCCAAGAAAAAAAGGGAGGTAAAGTGGTTTTTTGGGGGGGTCTTTGTGGAACCCGTCAAGACAAATGGGGGGGGGGGGGTCTGGTTTTTGAGGGTATGGCTTTGTACTCAAAATTAGGAGCGCGGTTTTGCGGAGTTGGAAGTTGGCGACCCATGGAGTCGACCCAAAGAGGGAGTAGTTTCCCATGAGGGTGTGAATAAAGCAGGATACGTTTTTTCTTCTTCTTTTCGGAGGCTTTTTGGGGCATGCTTCTTTTTCTTCTCCCGCGCATGTCTGGCGCATTGCTCTGGGAATGACGCCATGCAAACGAGACCCAGCTAGGGAGATAGGGCGACGAGATTGACTGTCCCGGTTCCTACAGGCTATAGACACATGTGAGCTGATCAAAAGCTCCGGGCTTAGGATATGGCTGTGGTTGTCAAAACTAATGGTATCCCAATTTTTGGGTAGGTGCACCACCTATTTTAGTGGGGATTGGGATGTTCACTGGGGGTACGATTTGGATTTTGACCCATGGCCAAATGGGAAACAAAGGTGACCCATGGTCAAAAGGGCTAGGATATGACGATACTTCCCAACCAATAGGATATGAGCTAGGATACCAAAAGTATTTGATACTTCCCACGAAATGGGGGAACAAGTGTCCCATGGTCAAAACTGGGGGCTGTTCAGGGAAGATTTTGAGGAGCTCTCATGTGAAGGCCTCGTCTCAGGTTTTTTTTTTTTTGTTTCCGGCCCGGGAAGAAATGCAGCGATGGGATTCCGGCTAGTTTGGCATCACCGTTGGCACGTTCTTTTTGATTCTGTTCATTTTTAGTGGGCTGCACAAACTTTAAGTTGCAAGGCCATAGCAATGGTTGAAAAGTCAGTCAAAACAGAAAACGGCCAAGGGCGGGTTCGTGACCTATGCATGGTTGTCGTTGGGAAACATTTTACATTTTTGCTTATTGTGGTTTAGTGGGAAATCCCAACTTAACTTCTAAAATCTATTTTTTTGCTCCCCTTCCAACGTCAACCAAGTTCAGGCAACTCGTCAGGTTGGCGGTTTGGATTGATTTGGATTTGGATTTGCCCTTCTTGAGGGCTTAAACGGGGTTTACCCCCCCTCAAGCCACCGATTCGGCTCCAAACCACCAATTGGAGTGAGAGAAGCCAAAGTTTGTCTAGGTCCCCCAGTAGTGCCCTTTTTAACCCCCTTTTCGGGGGAGGGTTACTGAAATAGACTACAGAAAAGAAAAATCGGGTACCCTACTTCTAAGCTTTCAAATCTGGAGGACCTAGTTGTTTCTGATTGCTTTTCGCCATTCTGGCCAGGTCCTTTGGGCGCCTTGGTCGGGGGCTACAGCGATGCGGATTGGCTCTACGAGGAGGCGGGTTCAGCCTTCAGCCCACATTGTTCGCCGCACGCCGGAGATGTGATCGCATCTCAGCCCCCCGAATTCATTCTTCGCCCTTTTTGGGAAGACCGTTTTGGGTGGCTTTCTTTTAAGGATTTGGAGCGGTTTCCCTTTTTAGACGGTCAAAAAGGGTACCCTCGAAAAAGACGCGCCCATTTAGTCACTTAGTCTAAAGCGAAGAGTTGGAATGTTTGTGTTTTTGTTTCTTCTTTTTTCAGTTTTTTTCTTGATTTGTTGGCCAATCCACTCAGTAAGGTTGGCATAGTGAACAGCAAAACCGACAGGACACTCGACAATAGCCCCAGGCAACAGTACAGTTTGTGGCTTTGGGGTATTTATATGTATTTATTGTTAGTTGGCATGTATTTTTTAGAACCTGGTGTTTTTTTGGTTCAATCCCAAGATGACCTCAAATAACAGCAGCTAGGTCCCCCAGTAGTGCCCTCTTACCCTTTTTGGGGGAGGGTTCCCCTACTAAAATAGACTACAGAACAAGGTTGGTACCCTTATTCTAACATCTGTGCTGGAGGACCCAGGCAGGCCTCATCCAAGAAAACGGGTTTTGGAACTCCAAGAGGAAAAAAGGTTTTGGACTCTCACTTCCCCTTTTTTCTTCACGGTTTTCCCCCCCCCAACCGACCAAAACACCCGTCCTTCACTTCTCCCTGCCTTTCAAAAGGCACCAAATCAGAAGCCTCCGGATCGAAGGATCCGGATCCATGGGCCTCGGTTTTTTTTTTTTGCCCTCGAGCCGTCGGAGCTGGAAAGAGGATCTGTAGCCAAATTTTGGCTTTGTGGGTAATTTGTTTGCCTTTTGAAAGGTTAGGTTATGCGGAAAAACCGTATCCACGGAAGAATCGGTGGCTTTTTTCCGTTTTGCTGGGGTGCTGCTGGAAGGGTGAACATGGAACAGAGCCAGAAAGTCTGATTTCTGTGCATTGTGGGAGAGGTCAAAAAGTCACCCGGATACTTCAAGGGAAAAAAGATGTCCTTGTGCATGTAACCTTGAAATCTCTACGTGGGTTTTGTGTTGGTCCTGCTAAATCCCTACCTGTTGCGCGAACCTCCCTGTTTCAACACCGTATTTGGAGGGTTCCACAGGAGAATCCCTGCATTGTTCAAAGGGAAATAAATCGTTGGAGCCCTGCATTTGAAACCGAGTCCAGAGGACATTGGCTTCCAAGGAAACCAGGGACATCGGTTTCCTCAAGAGGACACCCCCATGTGTGTTTCGCCGTGTTGCGTGAGGCGCGGGACCTGTGGCTTCGTTTCAGGTCACTCAACCTCCGCACCTCCAGACCACCAGGCTCCGACCCCCCCTCCCACCCCCTACCCCTCCCACCCCCCTCACCCCCCTCACCCCCCCACCTCCCAACCCACCCCAACCCAACCCACCCCAACCCACCCCAACCCAACCCCCCCAACCCCCCACCCCACCCCACCCAACCCCAACCCCCCCCAACCCCGCGCCAGGTCTTTGAGAAGCACCCGGCGGAGGCGCTCAAGGAGAGCTTCGCCCTGTTGGGCTTCCGGAGCCGCAGCGAGGGGGACTGGCCCGGGCGCCCGGGTCATGGACGAGATTTTTATGCCGTGGGTCATGGGCGGCAACGCGAGGCGGGGTTTTTGTTTTGGCGCTTTTGTTTTTTGTGCCAAGAACACATGAATGTTTTTTTGGGGCCGTGGGTTTAGAGGTCGTTTTTGTGGCTCTCGGGGACACGCAGGACAATCAGACTGTGTGTGTGTGTGGGTTTTCTTGCTAAGCCGGTTTGCTACAGCTCGCAGCAAGCCAGCCAGCCAGCCAACCAGCCAGCCAGCCAGCCAGCCAGCCAGCCAGCCAGCCAGCCAGCCAGCCAGCCAGCCAGCCAGCCAGCCAGCCAGCCAGCCAGCCAGCCAGCCAGCCAGCCAGCCAGCCAGCCAGCCAGCCAGCCAGCCAGCCAGCCAGCCAGCCAGCCAGCCAGCCAGCCAGCCAGCCAGCCAGCCAGCCAGCCAGCCAGCCAGCCAGCCAGCCAGCCAGCCAGCCAGCCAGCCAGCCAGCCAGCCAGCCAGCCAGCCAGCCAGCCAGCCAGCCAGCAAACAACCGAACAAACAAACAAACAAACAAACAAACAACCAAACAAACAAACAAACAACCAAACAAACAAGCCAACTTTTGCTTGGTGCGATCCAATCAGGCACATTCAATTCGACCTTCGATTCGACCATCTCACGTCCACTGGGGGAAAAAAAACAAAAAAAAAAACACAAAACATCCGGACAACTCCCCAAAAGGAATGGACGCGCCACAGAAAACGACCCATCTCGCGGCGGACGCGCCTCGAGGTCCGGGGTCTCGGTGGAGGAGATCTCGCTGGTCTATCGCCGGATGTGCCTTCGCGGCCACCCGAGCCGAGGAGGCGTCGGGCGCCGCGCAGGTGGTGGTTTTCGGTTTGGTTTTGCTTTAAAACGAGAAAAAGGCGGGTTTTCCTATTACGTCAAAGCCACCAAACAAGATGGTGCCCCTTTAACAGAGACAAATTTATGTCCATAGCAGGGGCTGCTGCAGTTTCGGTGGCGAGGGATTTGCGGCGGTGGGAGAGGCTGAGCGGATGGACACGCGCGTGTCCCTCTTTTGAGGGAAGGGACGGGTTGCTGGGCGGTTCTTTCCCGTTCAACTTGGGATTTTTCTCCTTGGTTTGGTGGTTGGTGCAGTGGTTGGGGGTCCGAATGTCAGCCACTAGGAAATAAACTTTTAGCAGGGTCTGAGGACGGCCCAGTTTGGAGATGGCAAATATAAGGACCTGGGCAAGTACAATGGGCTTCCGGGCCACCTGAAAGCAAACTCGAGGCATGAGAATGGGGTTAAATTGGGGGGTTCCAGAGGTCCCGGAAAACAAGACCAACCCACGTACATAGTATATATATATATATATATGAATATGGGTATGGGTCAAAACTAAACCCACCAGGATATGGACCACAGGTTTTGGTCCATGTTTCCACTTTAAAAGGGCAACCCATTTTGGGGTCAACCTATTTTTGACCACCACGGCCATATATTCATGATCGTGATGCTTCTTTGTTCGTTGGAAGCGCGGCTTTTGCGGGTTGGCCAGGATCTCCCAAGGACTACCTGAAACTGCAGGCGGGATCCCGGACCTCGCTTGGACGATTTGTTTTGCTTGGAGCTGTAGTCATGGGGGCTGGGGCGGAGGGAGGGAGCCCAAATAAGCCTCAAATAAGGCCTTATTAAGGGCTTAATAAGGGCTATTTGGGCTCCCTCCCCCTCCCCCTCCCTCCCCCCCAGCCCCCATGATGTAGTATCTAAACGCAAACCTTGGTTTGGGTGAGTTCTGGTTTTCCCCACCGCCAAGCAGCAAAACAAACACTTCTTGCGCCTTTTTCGGGCGATTTATGTTTTTTCCCGCCAAGCAGCAAAAAAAACAAAGACTTCTTGCGCGGGATTGAGCCGTCCAGTCCAGAGCCGCTTCTTTGATTGGGTGGCACCATTTCGCGCCGACGACTCTTTGGTTGCTTCTAGAAGCATGCGGGGTGCATCAGTTCAAGAGAGGAGGCCTGGGAGAATGTCAGCACTTGCCGTTCCAGCTGACTTCTGCGGGCCCCTTTTTTCGCGTGAATCGCTGCGTTTCCAGTTGCCCTCCCTCCCACTAACCCACTTTGCCATGGCAACTGACAGGGGGTCCCTTCAAAAGGACATTTATCTTCCAGGTACCTCCCCACAGGTGCCATGTTGGTTGGAGGAAGGGTCAATTCCTTTCTTGACCGCTATCGGGTTGGATCTTGAGACTTTCACTTTTTGGTGGAAATAAAGGTGTTTTCCGTAAACCCCCCAAAAAGTGAAAAACAATAACTTTTTGCAGGGGGGTCAACCGCAGCAACCCAGCTTCGTGCGCTTTTTTTTGGTAGCCCATTGGGGTATGGGTCAAAAATTAAACCAGGAATTGGACAGCAGGAGGTTCAATCGTCCATGTTCCCATTTACCAAGGCAACCCACTTTGTGGTTACCCTTCTACAACCACAGCCATGTTCGGGTCCTGGCCCGAAGCGTTTCCCTTTAGGGCAACCCACTTTGGGGTTACCCTATTACAACCACATCCATGTTTGGTCCTGGCCCGAAGCGTTTCCATTCAGGGCAACTCACTTTGGGGTTACCCTATTACAACCACATCCATGTTTGGTCCTGGCCCGAAGCGTTTCCATTTGGGGCAACCCACTTTGGGGTTACCCTATTACAACCACATGTTTGGTCCTGGCCCGAAGCGTTTCCATTTGGGGCAACCCACTTTGGGGTTACCCTATTACAACCACATGTTCGGTCCTGGCCCGAAGCGTTTCCATTTAGGGCAACCCACTTTGGGGTTACCCTATTACAACCACATGTTTGGTGCTGGCCCGAAGCGTTTCCATTTGGGGCAACCCACTTTGGGGTTACCCTATTACAACCACATGTTTGGTCCTGGCCCGAAGCGTTTCCATTCAGGGCAACCCACTTTGGGGTTACCCTATTACAACCACATCCATGTTTGGTGCTGGCCCGAAGCGTTTCCATTTGGGGCAACCCACTTTGGGGTTACCCTATTTTTGACCACCACAGCCATGTTCGGGTCCGCCTGGCGAATGGCCCGAAGCGAAAACGAAAAACTCCGCTCCGCTCCGAGTGAAAAGACTGCTCGTCAGGTGGCAATGGAGCTGATCAAGGCCTTCTGCGGGGACGCCGGGCCGCTGGAGGCGCGAAGACCCCGGCCCGCCGTCGGGTCGCTTCGCGTTTGCGCGGCTCCGGCTTCTGCGTTTTCGCTGCAAAAGGGGAGGGGACCCCGGGTGCGTGGCATTTTTTTTGGCTATGGACCCACAGGAACGGCGGCATCATTTTGTTGGACCGCCGTTGTTTACTAGGTCCAGTAGTGCCACTTGACCAACTTTTTTTGGGAGAGGGTTCCCTTACTAAAATAGACTACAGAAAAAAAAGGGCACCCTTATTCTAACCTCTCTAAAGGAGGACCTTGTTTAGCTTTGGGTTTTGTGGGTACAGGTGTGTGGTTGGAAAAACAGGGTCCGGTGGGAAGTCGGTGACGGGTTCTTCCGTTTGCGACAAACTCAATTTATGACTTACGGATCTGTTGGACTCTTTTTATAACTTTTCGATTGAAAGTGAAAGTGAAGTTCCCGAAATGTCGAAAGGAGACCAAAGGAAATCAATCCAATTGCACCAGGTTGGGGGATGACGAACCCCACATGGAGAAATTGTGATATCTACTGTCACCCCACTGCAGGTCGGTTGAAGTCCTGCCGCGGCTTCAAATTTGAAACGCAGAAAATGAAAGAAAGCAACAAGCAAGGAGACAAACATACAATCATACAAGCAGCCAGCAAGCAAGCAAGCCAGCGAGCGAGCGAGCGAGCGAGCGAGCGAGCGAGCGAGCGAGCAAGCGAGAGACCCGCCGAGCCAGCGCGGAGCCAGCGAGCAAGCAACCAAGTAACCAAGAAACCAAACAAACAAGCAAGCAAAAAGGGACACGGGTGACAACGTTTGGTTGTTTGTTTTGTTATTGTTATTATTGTTATAAGTACTGCAGTTGTCACTTCTTGACGTCTGACATTTGGTCCTGTCTTTGTTTGTGAAGCCAGGACATATGGGCCAGTCTCTTGTATGTTTTCCGCGTGCTCGCCAAAGTGGTGACATTTGGAAAAGCCAGCAAGGACACTTCAGGGGAAGCCTGAACGCATGCATTCTGCTGAGAGAGGGGCAGGTGCCAACTTGGAGCTGCGCGACACAACCGGGTGCACCTCCATTGAAATTCGTTCGTCTAGGATGTCTAGGTTAGGCATAGGGCATGTCCATGGTTGTCGTTGGGAAGCATTTTGCTTATTTTTGCTTACAGTGGTTTAGTGGAAAATCCAACCACTTAACTGCTAGAATTTAAATGGTTGCTCCCCTTCCAACGTCAACCAAGAACAAGTGACCTTTGCAGCTGCACCTCTTTCTTCGCCAAACCCGCCAGGGGCCACGGCCGCCGTCCCGAGGCGTGAGCCGGAAGCCACTGCTTTCCTTGCTGCTTCTCAGGCTATGGGTTGAGCCCCCGTACTGAACTTTTCAACTGGCTCATTCAGGGGGATGATCTGAGTTCCCAAAACGCGTGTCGATTCCCTGAGAAGCAAGTTTCTCAAACTTGGCTCGAGTCTGACCTGCACTGATTGAGCTTGACTTCGTTTTGGCCCCCATTGCACGCCCACAAGTGGAGATATGAAGAACATGTTGCATGCACCTTGTCCGTTTGAACCACATCGAGCTAAACCCCCCCAACATCTTGGGCTTGTTTCCTGGCATAAAGGATATTGAGCCGCCAAAAAAGAGGCGCTTTTCCATCTAGACCTACCATTTTGGAACAAGTCAGTGGGTGGGCGCTTTGGACTCGAGTCGCAGCTTCCCCGGCCGGCCCGCCCGCTGCCACTCCCGTTCTTGACTTTTGGCCTCTTCGGCTTTCCTTCATTTCCCATGTCAGCCGCTCTAAGTCTGGCCCGCGAACAGAGGATTTGTGCGTGCCCATGGCTGTGCGCGCCGCCATGTTGACACGAGAGTTCGTGTGGATGATGAGCATTTTGGATCAACCATCCCTAAGACACACCGAGCCGGTCGTCCAATTTCTGGTGGCTGTTGGTGATTGGGCCGGGTCCAGGCGTGATTCTTTTCCGTCCTTTTCAAGCGAATCCATTTCTTTGGTAGGTGGTCAGACTGGGCCGTCTGCAAAGATTTTCGGAGCCCTGGTGATTGGGTCCAGGGGCTCGCGGAATCGAAGGGACCCCCCGGGTCCCTGGCCGCTCTTTTTTCTTGCAAGAGCGCCTTGGCAAAAATAGGTGTGTCTTGTCTTTGGGGACGGGGTCCCCCCCCCAAAAAAAAAAACACAGAAAACCAAGCAGGCAAGAGGGTGGTGGCCCTTTTTTGGCTTGCTTTTAAGCCAACCCAAAGGGGGCAGCCTCGGCGCCCCAGGCTGCTTGCACGCCATGGCCACTCGCGATCGCGCAACTTGCGACTTGCGATCGCCAGGGCCCGACGTGAGCCTTTGCATCGAGAAGTCGGACAACCACTTCGCCGGCGGCTCAGAAGTTGCGGCGTGTTGACCCGGGGAAAGGGACGCGTTCAAGCAGGTGCGGGGCTCGTTTAGACCGCCAAATGGCTGCGGGTCAAAACCGTTTTGGGATCCCATTTTGGGGTTTTTGGTGCACCCATTCTAGAACCTATTTGAGTGGGGATTGGGATGTTCACTGGGGGTACGGGATTTTGGCCCATGGCCTGGGAGAATCACGTGTCAGTCCCTTATCATGACAAACTGAGAGTACATCAAATCGATAGACACAACCTCAAAAGAAACTGGAAGATGCCTTTTCATCGCCATGTTCCGTTTGTTCGCCATCTGAAGCGACACTTCACTCGTTGGCACTTGTTTTTTTGGCTCTTTGGTTCCCTTCATTTTGTCGCGAACTGCAAAACCGCTAAAATAAAACACAACAACTGCCGCCCAAGCCCTTTGGGTTTACCGGGGGGCCGGGATCCGAACGCCCGGGAAAGAACAGATAACCCGGGACCCTCCGAAACCCGCCGGAGGTGCTGAGCGACCTGGCGCTGGCCCACGAGCTGCAGCTCAGCGTGGAGGAGGCGGAGAAGGAGGCGGCGCAGCTGGGCCAGGAGCATCTCGAGGAGACGCTTCGGTCGGAGGTCGGTCGGTCGGTCGGCGGTCGGAGGTTGGGGGTCGGCGCTCGGAGGTGGGCGGTCGGAGGTCGGAGGTTGGGGGTCGGAGGTCGGAGGTCGGAGGTCGGAAATTCGCCGGCGCGTTGATGGACTTGGAGGGGGGAGATGGGGGGGGGGAGGGGAGGAGAAGCTTCGGTCGGAGGTCGGTGGGAAGTTGGAGGTCGGAGGTCGGAGGTTGGAGGTCGATTTGTGGCGCGTCGATGGAATTGAAGTGGGGGGGAGATGGGGGGGGGGAGGGGAGACAAGAAGCTTCGAATCGGTCGGCGGTCGGAAAGTCGATTTGTTGCGACGTATGGATGGGATTGGGGGGGAGATGGGGGGGAAGGGAGGAGGTCGGAAAGTCGATTTGGCCGGCGCGAATCGATGGAAAATTGGAGTGGGGAGAGATGGGGGGGGAGTGGGTCGGGGGTTGGAAATTCGAGTTGCGGCGCGATAGATGGAGAATTGGAGGGATTGGGGGGAGATGCGGGGAGATTGGGGGGGAGATGGGGGGGGGGGATTGGTGAGGAGATGGAAGGTAGGAGTGTTTTTTTGGTTTTGGTTTTGGCACATGTTGATATGTTGCCCAGCAGTTGGTACAGACCAAGCCAAACAACCAAAAGCAAACAAGAAGACACCAAAACACCAAACACCTATCCAGACACATTCCAGCCATATTGGCCGTTCTCAAACTTCCTGTCTGTTGTGAGAACGAACTGTCCACATTTCCGAAAGCGCTCAAAAACAAGAGACTTGCCATTCCTGAGTCGAGATCCTTGTTGCACATCACTACATGCAGTCCACCTTCTTCCACTAGTCATGGAAATGGACGATGAGGGTGACCTTCTTAGGCTAGTTCGGTTATTTGCGCCAGGAGCTGAACCGGGCTCTGGACGAGTACATCCTGAGGCCAGGGAGGGAGGCATCAGAAGCGGGGGTGTTGGAGCCGTGCCCCTTTTTCTTTTTTGCTTTGGGGAGGGAGGGAGGGAGGGAGGGAGGGAGGGAGGGAGGGAGGGAGGAGGGAGGGAGGGAGGGAGGGAGGGAGGGAGGGAGGGAGGGAGGGAGGGAGGAGGGAGGGAGGGCGGGCGGGAGGGCGGGAGGGGAGGGAGGGAGGGGGAGGGGGGGAGGGGGGGGGAGGGAGGGAGGAGGGAGGGAGGGAGGGAGGGAGGGAGGAGGGAGGGAGGGAGGGGAGGAGGGAGGGAGGGAGGGAGGGAGGGAGGGAGGGAGGGAGGGAGGGAGGGAGGGAGGGAGGGAGGGAGGGAGGGAGGGAGGGGAGGGAGGGAGGGAGGGAGGGAGGGAGGGAGGGAGGAGGGAGGGAGGGAGGGAGGGAGGGAGGGAGGGAGGGAGGGAGGAGGGAGGAGGGAGGGAGGGAGGGAGGAGGGAGGGAGGGAGGGAGGGAGGAGGAGGGAGGGGAGGGGGGGGAGGGAGGGCGGGCGGGCGGGCGGGCGGGCGGGCGGGCGGGCGGGCGGGCGGGCGGGCGGGAGGGCGGGCGGGCGGGCGGGAGGGAGGGAGGGAGGGAGGGAGAGAGGGAGGGAGCTGGCCTCCATTGTTTGGCCACTGGAGTGCAAGAAGGTTTAAGTCTCCATGTGAGTAACATCCACCAACAAATCAGTTGACATTCATATCAAGGTGCAAGTGGGAAGGTTTGCTTGGATGTTTTGAAAGGGAAACCAAGAGTGTGCAAATTCAATTCCTGAGGGTGTGTGTGTGTGTGTGTGTGTGTGTGTGTGTGTGTGTGTGTGTGTGTGTGTGTGTGTGTGTGTGTGTGTGTGTGTGTGTGTGTGTGTGTGTGTGTGTGTGTGTGTGTGTGTGTGTGTGTGTGTGTGTGTGTGTGTGTGTGTGTGCGCGTGGATGTTTGTGTTGACGTGTCTTTGAATTGCAAAATGTCCATTCTGGCCAGCCGCTTTTCGTGCATTCTCCCGCATAAATTGATAAATGCTCCCTTTCATCAGATACTATTTTCCCTGTCCAAGCAATCTCAATTCGTCATAAATCATAAAAGACAGTTTAATTGCAACATGCCGGGGTGGGGGGGTTGAGGTACCCTTCATAGCGTTGGCGGGTCACCCTAAATGAGTTCGAACAACTGGGTTGCTTTCGGATGCTGCACACATTATTGTCCTTTGCTGACTTATTACAAACAGTTTTACTGGTGACGGAATTACAGTGTTTTGAGTTTTGACCATTGAACACCGGCACTGAGTCGATATCGAGATTCGCTTGAGACAGCCTGACAAACCGCTCTACCGTCAAAGTGACGTCCTCAAGGGGTTGGCCGCAGAAAATATCACGCTGCTTGCAGGTGTCAGCCGTTCTGAGTTCGGAAAAGCAGTCAGGTCAGGCGGAGTTTGAAGGATCATGACCCCAATTCGCAACATCGCTGCCCGCAACAGCAACGCTGGGGAGCAAGAAGCACGAAGCTGGGCTACGGCTTCCTGCGAGGCCCGCGAACCCCATGCCAGTCGCTGTAATGCGCACATGCGAGCGGGCGAGACACGCACAGGCACACACACACACAGACACAGGCACACATTGCGCAGGGGTGCTCCGAGCCCTTCAACAGCACCCAAGCACAGGGGTCGGACACGTCCCCTGACCACAAACCACATGTCCAACCCTTCCGATCGATTCGCTCGAGTCCTGCCCTTTGTGGTACTTATTTGGGTGTGGCTCAAAAATAAACAGGAGGGGTTACGCAGGTTTTGGTCCATGTTTCCACTTAGCAGGGTTCCATTTTGGTGCCGGTTTTTTGAGCCACGGCCATTTGTATGGATGCCACGAGTGCACGAGTCGAGGCAGATGTGCTTCAAGAGTGAGATCGTGGACGAGATTGCGCGTCTCCATGAGGCGGATACAAACCGAATCCATGCTTGGATTGCCAGTGGAGCAAGCAAGCTTTGGGTGCTAAGTCTTCGCCATGGCTTTGCATTCGTGCTTTTGAAAGCCCCTTTTTTCAAAAAGCATCTTAAAGCATCAAGAGCTTTTACGTCTTTTGGACCGCATGTCTTTTGGCACATGTCTTTGGAACCAAGGGGTAAACATGTCTTTTGTCCAGTTGTGGAAGCTTGGAGCAAACACGTCGAGCCACCGCCGAGCCGTGAGCCTTCGAATCCATGTTCACACCTGGAGTCGAGCGCGAGGACTCGGCGTATGCGATCCTGGGGGTGTCCTCCAGTGCGACGGATGCAGAGATCAAGAAGGCGAGGTCTTCGATGGATACCGCCGATTTTTTCGTTTTTTTTTTGGTGGTTCTAGGGATTCCACCAAAAAAGGGGGGGAAGTGGGTTAAAACGAGCTTGCCATGGTTCTTTACTGGCGGATTCCAAATGTCAGGACATGCGCTTTCTATCCCCGACCGTTTTGTTTGTTATTGCCGGGGATTCTTCATATTCAGAATTTGCACGTTGCATTTTGCCTTCTCCGTAGCCCAGGAAGGTGATGCCAATAGTGCAAGTGATGTCGAACGCTAGTGTGAACTTCGGATGCTTGCAGATGCGAAAAAAGGAGGACTTCATCCATCTATTTCTCCTGAAAGGGGATTTTCCTTGCCCGCCCAATGCCAAACGACGCCCCGAAAAGAGTTGGGATTTCCCTTGACCGGTTCTCAAAGAATGGGCCGTGAAGTTCGGGCGGTTGGCTCTGGGGAGGCCTACAAGCTGATCGCCATGCAGTGTCATCCGGACAAGGGAGGGGACAAAGAAGACTTTCAGGCCGGGAGGCTTGACAAAAGGGGCGCGGGGGCCGGGCGCATTTGGGGTAAGGCTGCGGGTCAAAAAAAGAATAAAGGTACCCAAAATGGAGCCCTGTGAATGGACACATGCACTAAAACCTGCGGTCCCCTAGTGGTTGAATTTTCACCCATGATACAGATGGACATGTGCACAGATTGGTACAAGGGTTACCTCCCCCCCCCCGAAACCCTTGAAACATGGCTGACCGTGCGCACGGAGGAGGCTCACCGAAAGGAAAGGAACGGGCTTTCTCATTTCCAATTGGGACAACTATAGACAACATGCCCCAGCATGCAGGTTTCACTTCTCCACATTTTGCAAGGCATGGGAAATCCACGCGTGTTGCGCAAGTTGCGGGGGCCAGTCAAATAGGAGAATCTCTGTCACGGAATGATAGCAGCCCTCACGCACCTTATTCTGTTTTCCAGGTCACTCTGCGCACTCATTGTGAAAATTCCAACATTTTTTCTACACGTGGATTACACCCTCGAGGGGGCATCACGCCCATAATTTGTTTCCACGGACAATTTCGGGGAGTTCGGGTGTAGTCCCTGCGCAAAAGCAACCCGAAATTGGCTACTTGACGACTCCAGGGAAACTGACGAGATTGCCCTCCAAAGGCGGACTCGAGGGAAACCAACAGACAGATCACAGGACCCTTTTTTGTGGATGTCCTTGTTTTTGGGAACCCCCTTTTGGCTGGTTTTAAAGGCAAAGCAGAAGCCAAGCATGTTTGTTGCCACAACTTCGAGATTAGTCCAGATATTCCTGGCTACAGGTGAGCGGGTTGTCATGGTTCACGTCAGCACAATCCTTCTCCCAAATCAAAGCTAACCCCACCCTAAACCTGTCCTGAACCAAACTTAACCTCATCCAGTCAATACCCAGTTTTGCATGTCTCCTAAATACTAGATTCACCGTCCCGCCTTAGATACTTGCATTGGGTGACCCTTGGAATCTCACTTCCAGCTCCATTTTTGTTTTGTGGGCAAGATCAGAAACAAGTCTGTGCAATCAAAGCAACGTCACTGGGGGGTTTGCGCCGTCAACCAAAGTGAAGTTCCTTTCTGGGTCCCTGATTTTTTTGGTTGGTGAATTTTAATAGTTTGCCATTAAGCATGGAATTTGATCCCTCCATTTAAGGTAGGGACGATTCGCCAAGCTGAGCAGTCTCTTTTTCACTACTTAAGGACGAGCCTAGCTGTGGCTGCATGGGGGTTTTACCTGGCGATACAAAGCTTGAATCATCAAGTTTGCAGAACCAAACTTCAATGGGTTTCGACCAAGGTGGCGATTCAACCTCCACTGTTCTGTGAACTCCCTCCCTTTGGTTTCGCTTCGAGTCGGCTCGGGTCATGTCTGCATGGTTTTTGCCACTCTCTGCGATACCAAGGCCACTTTCCTTTGAAGCGACAAAAGTGGGGATGGGAATCCCACTTTGGCACAGAGAGAGGGTATTGCCCCATGGTCACCTTCTGGAGGGCAACTGGGAAGCTCCGAATGAAACCAAGCGAAATTCCACCAGGTGGAGGGCTAGACTTGACGAGAAGCAACGTTCTGCCCCTCATATTCGAAATCAAAAGATGCAAACGGCATGGTTGACCGCTTTTTGAGGGCTAGAAGGTAAATGGGAAACCACCAACTCCAAACCACCAAGAGAGAAGCTGACAAAGGTCCACAGCCCACCCACCCCGCCCCACCCCGCCTCAACACCTCATCCCACCCCGGACCCCGACCCCTTTCCACATTTTGGTTTCACAAGGTCCGAGCATGGTTGTTGTTGGGAAACATTTTACATTTTTGCTTATCGTGGTTTAGTTGGAAATCCAACCACTTAACTGCTAAAAATTAAATTTTCCCCCCCTTTCCAGCGTCGACCAAGTAAGGGGCCAGCGCCCGACCAAGTAAGGGGCCAGCGCCCGCCGAACGTTGGAGCGCAGGAGCTGACCAACGCCTACGAGAAGATCATGGAGCAGCGGCGATCGGATGGCCCCAAGGCGAATCGGCCCGTTCAACGTTGGGTGGAAGACATCTGGTGGGTTCCATGGACAGGAGGGTTGCCTTTCATTCTTTGCCCTTGGAACAAAGCTGGCCGCCGCCCAGCTTGCAAGGGCTCTGCTGCCTGCCTCAATGGAGGGGGTTCATCAGGGCTCACTGCCATCTTGGCGGAAGGAGCATTTTGATGGGTCCCGAATTCTATGAAGCCTTCAATTTAACGCAACCACCTGAGCAGCTCTAATAGTCTACGAGTCGCCTGACGTGCCTGTGAATGCCAGCGTCAAAAGAGCTTGCCCCTTTTCCGACCATCATTTCAGTGGACAGGAGGCCTTTGGATGATTCTGGCAGGTAGCCTGGCAACACTCTCTCCGCTTCCATTGGAAAGAGTAGCAGGTTGGCATCTTGCTGGTGCGATAGGCAGGGAACGAGAAACGGAATGAGCCCTGTAAACCATCCCTTGTGGTTTCCTTTAAGGGGACTTTTGGGTTCATTCCCTCATTCCCTACTTATCACACCCTCAGACCCACAAGGTTTGTGGCCATGTCTTGAGAGCCTTGATCCAATCATTTGAATGATTTATGGAGAGCTCACCTGGGGCTAAAACGAGCCAAAGCCATGAAAGATCCTTCACATGGGGATCCCTTATTTCAGGTTTTGGACACAGCGTAAAATTTGCAGAATCATGCTGACCAAATCGCGAGGACCGACGTGGCAATGCCACTTGCGAAAGCGACGAGGACTGGGCTGGGGCGCCAGTTTGAGGATAAGAATATCAAATTTTGGACATCAAGGACACCATTAGAAGCATTACTCAGCGGTCCCCAGCCATCCCCTTAGCTTTTTAGCTTTTTAGCTTTTTTGTGTCTAGTGGAGATTTCCATTTAACCCACTAAAAGTTGGACTTTTAGCGGGGATGTGAGGTCAGATTAGACACATCATCGGCCTATGATCATGAGGTAAATGGATTTCATCCCCCACAACTGGCCCACAACCCATGCCCACTTCTACTTATCGGCGGACAACTTGTCAAACGTGAGGAATTTCCCCCCCCCCCACCGAGCTCCAGGGGCCCACTCCTCAGTTCTTCAGTGGCACCCTTTTTCTTGTTTCCAACTTGTTTTTGGGTGGCTGCCCCACTAAAAATGGTCCTCCCGCCCCAACAAGGGTTCCAATTCTTTTTTTTCCAGGGTCACTGAACAACTGAGTGTCTGTTCATGGCACCCCCACCCCTCACTGGCCATTCAGGTCGCAGGCCCCTGGGGATATCACCCGGGTCACTGAACTGAGACTCTGGACACCGCCACCCCCGAAGTCGCGCAACCGCGCCCAAACCGCGCCGAAACCCGAAACCGCAGGAGCCGACGCCCGAGAAGGTGCCGCGGAAGGCGGGAGAACTCGCTGTTGGCAGAACTCGCTGGGCCCGAGATGTGGCGATGAACTTGGAAGAGTTCTAGGTCCCCCAGTAGTGCCCTTTTACCCTTTTTGGGGGGAGGGTTCCCCTACTAAAATAGACTACAGAAAAAAGTTGGTACCCTTATTCTAACCTCTCTACTGGAGGACCTAGAGTTGGACCTGGGCTCATTTTTTTTAACCACTCAGTTGTTCAGTGGCACCCTTTTTCCTTCCTTTTTTTGGGTGGCTGCCCCACTAAAAATGGTCCAAGCCCCAAAAAGGGTTCCAATTCTCTCTTTTTTTCCAGGGTCACTGAACAACTGAGACCATGATCAGAGTCACCCCCCAAAAGTCATAGTTGTTGTTGGGAACATTTTAGATTTGTTGCTTAGTGAAACCAACCACTTAACTACTAAAAATTAAACATCTTTGCTCCCCTTCCAACGTCAACCAAGAAGTGGCGGTTAAAGGGAAACCACCGATTCCAGTTTCTGACTTTGATCACCCCCCAGAAAGCGTCAAAAGAATGACCCCCGTGGATTGGGCATAAATCCCCAGGGAGTTCTGATGTCCACCATTTCGGGCTCCTTATTAAATTTCATAGTCCTTGCCAGTTTTTGTGGTCAGGAGACCTCCCTGGATCTCTTTGGGCGAATCCACGGCTCATATCGTGTTTGGATGTGTTGTGTCTTTGGCTGGGGGGTTCGAGCCGGGAAATGCCGCGAAAACGCCACAATCGAGATGTGGGTATGTGAAGGTTAGTGGATATACACGATCATATATGAGGGCGGCCAGCCTCTGAATCCTTTGCATGGAAGGGGGTAGATCAATTCTCGTGCCAGGCTTTGAGAATGACTAGCTTTCAAGCGCTTGATTTCTTTGCTTTGGTCGAGCATATAAGGTTTGGTCAAAATTTGTTTGTTTTGTCTATGGTTGCTTTGTGATCCATTTGGGCGTCCTTTCTTTGTTTGTCTTGCTTTCTTTGTTTGTTTGAGGGTGCCATTTATTGGATACGAGTGCTCGCGCCCCTTGCTCAGGAAAAGCGGGATAAACGCGAGGATGCGGAGGATTGGGATTTGGGCAATTGGTTGAGCAGATTGGACACCAACGAAGCCGCCAGATTGTGGGGAGTCTAACGCAATTGGGATCCCCTGCGTTTTACGGCCGAATTTTTATCGGGAGCTGCCTTGATGTTTATGTGGCTGTGGGTCAAAACCAATGGGATCCCATTTTGGGGTGGGTGCACCACCCATTTTAGTCGATTTTGGTGGGGATTGGGATGTTCATAGGGGGTACGGGATTTTGACCCATGGCCATATGGGAAATAGAGGGAATCCAGGCTGTTGCCCTTGAAAACGTAGCGTGGCACGATCAGCGATACTAGAAGGAGATGTTGGGGCTTTCATGTCGGGACAATCCCTGAGATCGCCACGGGATGGATATCATCTTCCCGTTCCAATCGGGGCCCACAAGCTGAAAAAACCTCTCCCCCGCCCTCCCATTTTCCTGCACCCGCAGGAAGTGTTCCTAAGCGGTTCTTAGACGATCTTAGACCATTTGCCTGGGGGGTTGGCCCTAGTATTTCTCCCTAATCGGCATGCAGCAAAGGTTCGACATGAACATGAATGAATGCGAAACTCTACTGGCCGAAACAAGAAGGAGCACTGCCCGTGAGTTGGGTGCCGCGATCAACGCGACAGCGGTCTGCCACTGGCAACTGGCGGAGCCTAGAGCGCAGTCACTCCGCAAGTTGGAAGGCGCGCAAAGGTTCAGAAGGCACGACTGCGCTGCGAAAGATGGCGGTCCTAGGTCGCTCATGACGCCATATCACGCTTGCCCTAAGACACAACCGCGAAACCCTACAGGAGCCAGAACGTGCGGTGTCCGGCATTTGCGGGACAAAGCAGCAATGTCGCGCTGCGTTGATCACCGCGACAAGAAGGCGGCGGTCGCTGCCTGTGGGCTGCGCCCGAGGAGCGCTATTGCAAGCTCAATCATGACGACGGCGAAAACGTCAAACGTTGCAGAATTCCTCCGTGCCTCTATCATCGCTGCAAGCAAAAGCAAGAGGCCAATCAGAGAGCATTTTGGGTGCATGACAGTCCCCACAGCCCCATGGGATTCCTAGTTTGCCCCCTTCACAAGAGTGTGTTGTCACCTTGCATTGCACTGGGTATATCAAAGTAGACATCTTCAGAATGGCGGCTTCAAGCGACATCACACCCAGCAGTAATTTGGAGTCAAGAATTCCCACCGTTTTCACAGATCCATTTGCATGGCAATGTCAGGAGGAGGAAAGCAAGGAGGAAGAGACACGGGGCGAAGAGAAGGCGATTCTTGGGAGTCGACTCGACTGGATCAGACACCTCCGTTGGGCACTTGGCCACTTGGGCCCCCAAAAAAGGCGCCGCTTTGGTTGACTCGAAGTAACTGCGGCCCTCCCTCAAACTAGCGGTTAGTTGGTGGGAGGGTATATATTTATTCTATTGTTTTGGGATATGGCTGTGGCTCAAAAAGTGGCACCCAGAACTTGAATGGGTTGCCCTGGTAAATGGAACACATCGCAACACCTGCATTCCCCAGCTCTTTCATTTTGAGCCACACCAGGGTTACAATGAGGCCTTTTGAGCTCGGCTTAACCATCTCAGCACAACCAAAAGCCAACAGGTTTTGGCCGACCCCGTCATTTGCGAGTGCTGGAATGAGTTTTCCCGAGCCTTTAGTAGAATATCACCTTCCGGAAGGTCAGAGAAAGTGCCAGCTCCCTGCAAAGTATGGCTACTTGGTACCGGATCTTTGGACTCCAACTGTTTGGAAAACAGTGGAATTTCCGAATTGGACCCACAACAAGTGAAACTTTTTGCAGAGGGCTCAATAGCAACCCAGCATGGTCCGCATGTTTCTCTTGTTGGTAGCTTCAAGCGTCTCCTGTTTGGCCGTTTTCAGGCGCGTCTTTTGTTGGTAGGGGAGATGGTTTTTAGGGGACACCGTGGGCCTCACGCAGCCATGACGAGCACAAAAAAGCCGCACACACAACGCTGGCAAGGCAAGATGGTTTTGCTGCCATACGTGTTGCTCCCGCAGCATGCACGAGATGCCTAGCGGTGCTGTTGGATCTGACGACCGGCACTCAGAAATCGGGATGCCTGTGCCTGTACCTTTCCATCTCTCTGCCTAAGTGGATGGACCAACAAAAAGTAGCCAAACTTTGTTTTTACCACTGAAATTTGTCTTCCCAAAAAAGTCTCTAAAGTCCAGGAACTCGGGGAGTCAGTTCTGTTGTGGCTTTATGTCGCTGCATATCCCGTCCAGCGGAGCCATAACTTTAGCAACTCCCCTGACCATCCGCGGATCTTCAGAAAACAGACCAGCCATGCAAAAGCAGGGATTAGGGTGGAGGCCTGATGAAGGCAGGTGATAGCAAATGGAACAAACCACCTCAATCCCTCTCCTCCCATATATGTCAACACCCGTCAGAATGCGTTACCACCCAACAGTTGGTGCCTCTAAAAGACACCTGCCTATTGGCTGGATAGCTTCTCACCGCTGATCTCTTGGAAAAGAGATAGTGAAAGCGAAGGGAATAGACATCAAACCAACATGAAATAGTGAATGAAATGGAAAGAAGGAGATGTCATCTATTCCCTCTCTTCCTCACTCCCTGAGTTCATGGACTTTGTACTTTTTGGGAAGACACTGGTAAACAAAAAGTTTGGACTTTTTTTGGCCAATCAACTCAGGAAGCGAGCTTCTCAGCCCTCACCAATATACTGGTTGCATCTGGGGCTGAGTTTTTTCATGTCTTGTACCTTCCGGCTTCGAGACCAGTCCAATCCGCTGCATTCACGAACAGAGTGAATTGAATTCTGAGACTTTATTTTATTATGTTTGTATTTTTAGTTGGTTGCTAATATTTAGTTGTTTTTCCTTTTTCTACTTTACCAATAGTTGATATCTTCTAATGACAAAGTCTATGAAATGAAGAGCGAAGTAAAAAGTGAATCATTAAACATCTAGACATATAGTATTCTATTATTTTTTTATTATATATTCCTTGTCTTTTTGCTTTTGGTATCTTTTATCTTCATTCATCTTTTCTCCCTTCTCTTTCCATTCCTTCTAGCTGAAGTGAGAGAGAGGAGCTTCCCCATCTTTCATCTCTTTCACTCTCTATTCCCTTCCACATCCTATCACTACAAATTACTTTAGGATGTGGATATGAGATTATGAAAGCAAAAAGCTGGTGATGGGAAGAGAAGAGACCCATTCACCATTTACTTTCTATCTCTTCATCTTTTTATTTGTCTTTCATTCGGAATATTCATATTGGTTATATTTTTATTTGTCTTTTCATTTGGTTTCTTCCTTGTCCACTCACCCATTTCCCCGCTGCCTTCGCTCGCGGTAACTTGTCAATGGGTGAGCACACATGATGAAGAGCGAGGAGTCTTTTCTCTTTGCCTAGTCAGGGCCTAGTCTCTTCATCCACCCACCCACGACTCAATCCTTTCCTTTCCTCTTCATTCCTTTCCTTTGCTATCATTCCTTGCAATAAATATTAAAATGATAGCAAATACAAAAGAAAGGATTTCGTGAAGATATGAAGGAATCTCTTCTCTTTTACTTGTATCTCTTGGTCCAATATCTTATCAGCAACAATAAAGAGATTCCTGCAAATTAATTGTCACTGTAAGTTTGGGGTTTGTGGTTTGGCCATCTCAACACATTTTTACCTCGAACCCCAGAATGGGCTTTGAAGAAGACTGCATTTCAGAAATTCCTCAATTCAATTTTTTGGAACCTCCAAAAGTGGCGATTTCAGCGGACACCACCAGTCAATTGCCTCTTTTCATTTGGGAACTCCAGGCAGCCCCTGCTACCTCCCCAATGAATTCCAAAAGGATACGGGTGTGTCTTGTTTTGATAGTACCCCGTTTTCGGTGGTTAAGAAAGGAAGCCTCCGTCATTGGACAAATGGATGGTCTAGAAAAGCCTATAGCACGTACCTCTAGTTGCCGCAACAATGTTTTTTCCCTCTGAACCCCCCTCCCCAAAAAAAAAGAACATGAACAAGTAAAATAAAATAAAAGGCTTTGAAGGAGACACTCCGTTCGAGGCCTACGTTTTGGGTTCCGCGTTGAGCACGGTTTGTCACCCACGAGTGACCGCGAGATTTGTGCAGGACCGCGAGGCCAAAGGAGGCAGTCAGGACAAGGCCTGGTTGCTTCGACCGCCATGCGAAGCTTGGGGTAGACTTAGGAGTAGACTTTTGCATTTTGCCAGTTACTCAAATTGAAGCAAACAATAAAATGTACATTCTATAATCTAATGGGCCAAGGGTTTATGATGGTCCGAAGAATTGTATTGAGCTACCCCGGTTTTACAAGACTTGGGGTAGACTTAGGGGTAGACTTTTGCACTAAACCAGTGACTCAAATTGAAGCAAATAATAGAATGTACATGCTATAACTGGGCCTAACTCTAATGGCTCTAGTCCATTTTCAGGGTCCGAACCTTTCTAGACCCCAACCACCAGGGACAACATCCGTTTTTGCAAACTTGAGGGTTGAAAAGCATGGAAAGGGAACTCGTTGGTACAGATGGTCATTAACCACTTGGGGATTGGGGATCATTGTAGGGGGCCCTCTTGAGGCAACTGTGACCATGATCTGACCATGGAACGTGTGCTTAAGCCATTTGTTCTTGACATGAGTACACAGTTCTGTCAGATGCCCCTGACTTGAGGGCGGTTCACACAGACACAAGCGACCACGGATGGAACATTGTGAGCTGGCAGACAGATACCTGGTCGTCACTGCCGTTTGGAGTGGTTGTTGCCCGCAGCGTGCAATTGCTTCCAGCCTGAAACATTTGTGGCTGAAACCAAGTTGGAAGAGCAGGGGTGCCTTATAGCGTTGGATCATGTATTTTGGTTGCTGGATTCTGTACATTTTTCGCGCGGGGCTACAAAGAGCCCTTTTTTATTTTCTACCACGCCAAGGTTTTCGGGGATTCAAAGAAAGTCAAAAGGACAACCATCCACTCTGCGGTTGCACCACATTTTGAGACCAAGCATGGCTTGCTTCATAACTGTGGATCTGCGAAGAAAGACAAGACCCCGGGCCAAGCGCAAAGTCTTTTCTTTCTCACGGCTCACTCGATGGTCATGTTACTTGAGCAATTTCCCAAAAGGAAGCCAAAGGGGGATGGCCGGTTTTCCATTTTTATTTTACAAACCTCCTACTTGACACAAAAAACAAGCACAAACACACAGAGGATAGCCAGTGTTCCAACCAGCTCCACTCAAAATGAGCCACAATCAAAGCCGGGTAGATGAAGGTTAGTAAGGGATAATCCCAACCATAAATAGCTGCGGCCGCCTTCTAAATTCTTTACATGGTTCTGGACCATTTTAATACCATTATTTACTGGTACTCGGTTTTGATTGTGACTCAAATGTATTTGCGTGCCCTCTGGCGCTTTGAGTCTTCATCGCGGGAGGACAATGCAACCCTTCTGGAGAAGGCCAGCAAGGCGAGGCAGTCGCCTTCGACTTGGGTTCTCACTTTTTGTCGTCGTCGACGTGCATTTGAATATTTAAACGTTTTTGTATTACGTCCCGGGATTACGCCCACTGGGAAATGACCCCGTTTAGGCATATTTCCGGGATAAAACCATGCTATTTTGGACCATGTTTGGCCATTTCCAAGGGTGTAATCCCAGGGTGTAATGCAACAACCCTTAGAGAATGTGAGCAACTGGCCTGAACATTTGCGTGTTTCTTTTTTTCAGGGTATTCCTTTACCGTGGATTATTCCTTGCTCCCGCATAGCCAGGTTCTCAGCGGCGCCTGTGTTCGAAAGTGTTGGCGCTTGCATCAGCTTTTCAGGTCCCTGGAGAGTGGCCGGGTAACCATGGTTGTTGTTGTGAACTGCTAGAAATGAGAAATATTTTTGCTCCCCTTCCAACGTCAACCAAGTAAAGGACACCCATGCCCATGTTCAAAGGTGATGTATCCGCTGGATTCCCCTCTATCATGGTTGTTGTTGGGAAACGGATTTTACATTTTTGCTTATTGTGGTTTAGTGGTTGAAATCCAACCACTAAACTGCAAAAAAAAAATGCTCCCCAAACCCAACGTCAACCAAGTAACCCCCCTTTTTTGGTGGTTTTAGAGAGCGACCAACAGGACAGCCGAAGCCATGTCGGAGGGGACGCAAGAGAAAGACACGCCCATTTGTGCTCTATTGCTAGTGTGGGGACGAGAAGCGGGGCCAGCCAAATGTCAGCCGACAGGGGACGCTCATCGGCTCATCTTTTCTCCGCGACAGGCCGCAGAGGAGGCGTCGCGGTACGCCAAGACGGCGGCGGAGTTCGCGCACCAGGCGGGCGGAAGGGGTAGTGGAAGCGCTGAAATGTGGCCGCGGTGGCGGAAAACCGGAAGGTACCAATGCTCACTCCCTGAGTTCGTGGACTTTAGAGACTTTTTGGGATTGGACCATTTTGGTGGTAAACAACAAGTTTGGACTCTCTTTGGCCCCTTTGGCCAATCAACTCAGGAAGCGAGCCAAAATGGGTTGCCCTGGTAAGGGGAAACATGGACAAACACCTGCGGTTTGCCCCTCCTGTTTAATTTTGAGCCACAGCCATATTGCAAGTTCCGCCACGTGGGATGTGGACACTGATTCTCTGGCACCGCTCATAGCGTGCGAACCCCTCTCCGCAGCTACAATGTTGAACCCTTCTTCCCAGGCCCACTGTATTAGGGGAGTGGGGGATGCAGATGTCATGTCATAGTGCTTCTTTTAGTAGACCGTGGTGAGGGTTGGTGGCGTTGGGGTGGGGTTGGGGTGGCGTTGGGGTGGGGTTGGGGTGGGGTTGGGGTGGGGTTGGGGTGGGTTTGGGGTGGGGTTGGGGTGGGGTTGGGGTTGGGGTGGGGTTGAGTAGGGTAGAGGGTAAATGGGAATGGGGTCAAAATCAAACCGTCCATGTTTCCGTTGGCCAGAACAAACCATTTCGGGGTTACCCAGTTTTTGACCCACAGCCAAAGGGTTGTGTGTCAAAAGAGCGGAAGCCCACAAATAGGTTTCGAGAAGATCCCCCAAATGAGAGGTGGCGGAGCAGCACGAGCATGGGTGACTTGCCTTCTGGGTTGATTCCTTGTCCATTCTTTTCAACCCTTTTCAATAACCGGCCGTTTCCCCTGGGGTTCTGATGGGTTTCTGGAAAGATTCGGATCCCTGGAAAGAATGGAAATGGAAGTGTCCCCTAGAAGACCCTACTCCCTGCGCCTGCATGGCTGGCTTTTGTTTTCTGAAGATCCGCAAGAATGGGGAAGTGTCCCCTAGAAGCATGGGCGCCTTACCTGCGCCACACCAGAAACAAAAAAAAAAAACCACTGAGCCTTCAACAGGCGGCGGAGGCGGCGGAGGCGGCACGAAGAGATCAGGCGGCGGAAGTCGGGGGGATCTTTAGGCCCTGGTTTGTTGGGGGTAAAGGGGGGAACCATTTCGGAAGACCTCCGAGCATAGGTGTCCTTTTTGGTTGTTTTGGCAACATAATAGATGGCAATTCCTGGTTTACCAGGTGGTTTACTCATCTATCAGGGCCATCTATTTCCCCCAAAAGGAGACCTATGCCTCCATTAAATGTGTCCAATCCACTGGCCTCATCATTTTACCATCAAGGTCACCCCCTAAGTGGTGGGTTAAAGGGAAACAACCCCCATTTCTGACTTTGATAGCCCCCAGAAACTGCCAAAATGATTTGACCCCTGACGGCCACCCAGGGGTGAGGTGACTGGGGATCCGATCCGCGAGTTGCGAGTTGCTTCTCGCCGAGCCAGCGGTGCGCTGTGCTGTCAGGAGCGCGGCAGCCGCGACTCCCTCACCAAGTCGGTGGGGCGCCCAAACCAAAAACATGGGTATGGGTCAAAATTAAAGCACCAGGATATGGACCATTTACCAGCGTTCCATTTATTTGGGGTACCTATTTTTGACCCACACCCATATGGGGCGAACAATCTGGGGTCAGGGTCGGCTGAGTCGTCTGAACGTGGCTGTGAGACCTCCGGTCATCCAGCATCTGTCCCTGGTATTCCCTTGAAAAGAACGACCAAAACATGACCTGGAGGCTGGAGGTCTGGGTATGTAACGTTGGTCATCCTGTGTATCCCTTGCTGGTTTCCTTTCTTCGGGCAGCAAAGCAACTGGATTTCCCACATAAGGAAGCCTCAACAGCTCGAAGACCTCCGGCTTGCTGAGATACCTGAAGGTCTTCTGGCGAGACCTCCATGTCATGGTTGTTGTTGGGAAACATTTTTCCATTTTTTGCTTGTTGTGGTTTAGTTGTGTTTCAATCCAAATCCACTTAGCTGCTAAAGTTGATAAATTTTTGCTCCCCAAACCCAACGTCAACCAAGATGTCAGCAGCTGCGATCGCTTCAACGTCTATGGCCCAGGTGGCCCACTCTGCGATCGTCTACACCCTCACGGTGGTGAAGGCGCGGGGGGAAAAGCCCGGCCCGCCGCTGGTGTGGCTCGTTTTGTGCAACATATTTCTTGGTTTGGCGTTGACGGGCCACTTGAGAGAACTTTCCGTGTGGTGGTCATTGGCCCGACAAGCTTGGTCCTGGTCCAAAGATTGGGATTCCCAGGTGTACTCTTAGGGTTCATGAGCATGACCCTTTGGCGGGTACTTTTTTGAGAGTCAGCAACGCGCTTTCGCCCGAAGAGCGGCTCGATGCTTGTCTCGAGCACTGCTCAATTCTGGTGGGTGATATATGGCGAATGGCTTTTATGATTTTAACATGGCTATTATTCTAGGGGTTGATTCCCCATTTTTTTTGAACCATGGTTCTTTCCAAAACCCGGTCGTTTTTCCTGCATTTCCGGAGGTTTTCAAGAAAGAAGGATCCCTGGAAAGAATGGAAATGGAAGGTGCCCCTAGAATTCTGATTTTTCACAGGGACCCACCTCCAAAGTGGCTGGTGGACATGAACCCCCACCTAACTGAGGTAATTCAATCACATGCGCTTCGCCAGAAGTTTTGACTGGTGCACGCCAGAGAGGATTGGCCCGGGAAACAAGCTGTTCCCATCATGGAACAGCTTGCTAACTTTGACTGGCGATTGCACATTTGTATGGCCTTACAGGGTCTCATGCGGGGGAAGCGCAGGGGCATGTTTCCAACATTGACGGAAGGTCATGGGCAGAGAACGGTCAATTTAAAATGCCCCGCTCAAAATCCTTCGTTGTTCCAAGAAGAAGGGAAGACTTGGCCACATGCCAAATCAAGTTGTTTCGAAAACATCGCAAAACACACGGAAAATAAAAAGAAACAACTCGCCGGCGTTCCGCTCCGCTTTGCCGCTCCGCTTCTCCGCTTCTTCTTGCGGCGCCTTGCGGCTGCAAGCGGCGGTCTGCGGTCTGAGGCGGTGCGGGCGGTGGGTTACGCCACCCTGGACGTGGCGGCCCAGTGCCGTGCCGCGGCGAAGCCTGGGCCCAAGCCCGGGGCGGAAGCCTAGGTCCCCCAGCCCTTTTTTTGGTTTTGGGTTGGGAGATTCGGTTCCCCTACTAAAATTTAGACTACAGAAAACAGTGGGTGCCAACTTATTCTAACCCAGGGTGGTGGGATCAAGGTTTTTTTCCCCACTATCTGTGATACAAGGGGATCTCCCCCTTGATATGGGGAGTTAGTCTTTGGGGTTAGGCCCTTTTTCTTGTATCACAGAAGTGGGTTCCATTTCCCACAGCCCTGTTCTAACTTCTCAAATCTGCAGGACCTAGAAGCGGTTGGTCTCGCGCTTTGAAGCCGTAGGGTTCGTCCGGGTCCACTTGAAGGAGTCATGGGCCGCCCGGCTTTTTATTTATTTCTATTTCTGCCGTGTGGTGGCAGGAATTTGTGGTGCCATGAAAGGGGAGTTTTCCTTGGTGGGGTGATGTTTGAAGGGGATATATGGGTGTGTCTCAAAATAGGGGACCGTGTGCCCTTTGACAGTGCTTGTGAGTGCTAAAGAGAGTTGCTTCGAGCTAGCAATCGATTCGCTTCAAAGCTATCAGCTTTCAAAGAGATTCGCAAGTGGTACTACATGAATGTGGGAGCCCCGAAACATCCGCCAAACTTGTGGAGTCTCCTTTTGAGAAGCGGACCTTTTGGGGCTCCATTTCAATGCAACCGGACAGCTTGTAGACCGGGCAGATGGTCTCCACTACCCCCAAACCACTGGTTTAATGGGAGATACAGCCACTATATAGCCATGAAAAGCGAGGGGGGGATCCTACTCCAGCTTCATCTGGGGGGTAGCTTCGTTGTTTGAAATCTAAAGCCCCCTGAGGCCCCGCACGCTTTTTTCTTCGCGAGGCGAAACCCGGAGGCGGCGTCCTGCGCCGAGCACGCCGTGAACGCCGGACGCCCTAAAGCCCCGGCGTCGGGTTGGTTCGTTCTGGACACCGAGGAGCCCCGCAGGTCGGACGTTCAAGTTGAGCCTCAATCAAAACAGATTCGGGAGGATCCGGTTAGGGACAAGCCCCTTGCCCTTTAACTAGCTGCGGATATCCGGTTGTTTGAATTCCTTACATGGTTCTGGGTTCACCATTTGTGTACCAGGTTTTGATCATGACCTGCTTTGTGGGTTGGGGCCATTTGAGTCTAGGTCCCCCAGTAGTGCCCTTTCTCGCCCTGTTTTGGGGGAGGGTGCCCCTACTAAAATAGACTACAGAAAAAAATGCCACCCTTAGTCTAACCTCTCTACTGGAGGACGTAGGCTTGTTTGGCTTGGCACCTGACAGTTGATCCACTTGTTTGGCACCTGACAGTTGGAAGCGCGGGGCTTCTTTGCTCCATTGCCGGCGAAGACTCGGGTTTCTTTGTGCGTCTTGCGGCCACTCTTCCTGCGCTTTCCACGTTTGGTAGATTTGTTTGCACCTGGGCCTGAGTACTGTGGATGGACACCATCAGCTTTGCACCACCTAAGAAACCCGGGAATTAGTCGATTCCCCAGTAAATACCAGTTATGGCTCCAACCATGATTTCATTTCGTGGGCGACATGGATTTTACAGCCATCCACAGTATCTCTCCACGTGTTTCTTTGTATTTTGGGGTTTCCCCCAAAAATGGCTCCGGTTTTATCCGGTTCCCTTCAAAACCCACGAAAAAAACAAAAAAAACAAAAAAAAACAGTCACCCCCAAAAAAAAAAGCAAAATTACAAAGAGCCATGCAGGCTTCCGGCTTTGATGATCCCAAGTGGGCTTAAAGGGCTTCGGTGTTGCGTTGATGTTTGCCCTGGGATCGTGATGAAGCTTGCTGGTGCTCAGCAGGAAATGAGGGAATGGACATTGGGGGATTCTCGAAGAAAGGAAAGCATAGGGAAGGGGTTGCAGGGGGTCATGTGTTCATTCCCCTTGTGGTTGGAAGCCAAAAGAAAGGCAATCAGAAAGCCAACCAGCATAAGTTACACAGGTACCCCAAAACAGACTCCCCACCCCCACCGAAATGGCTTCAGTGTTTCTTTGGTTGCCCTTTGCAAAGGGGTACCCCAAAAACGGGCAGTGGTGGTTTTCCTTTGGTTGCTCTATATATTAGGGTACGCCAAAAAAGGGTACCCAAAAAGAGAAGAGGTTAGTAAGCCTGGTTATAACCCACTTATTATAATCTGGCTGACTAGCCACTTTCCTGACGTACTCTGCCCCTTTCGGTACCCAAAAAGAGACACACACACACACACACACCTGCCCAAATGGCAGCCTCCTTTGGTTGCAATTTGTACAAGGGTACCCCAAAAACAGGTACTTAAAGGGGCAGAGTACGTCAGGTAAGTGGTTCGTGAGCTTAGGAGACTTGGTTCCCGTGGCAAGTGGCTTCTCTGGCTGACTAACCACCGCACCCCCACCCAAATGGCAGTTCCCTTTGGTGTGCCTTTTTTTTTATTTGGGCACCCCAACACCGGGAAATTAATTCCTGGTGGCCCTTTATACCAAATTGGTACCCCCACCAAAAAAAAAACCGGGCGGTACCCCAACACGAGACGAGACGAGAGATGGCGCGCCGCTGCCCTCTCCCTGCGAGCGATTTGGAGCGAGGCCATGAGCCTGGGCCTGGAAGCCTTGAACAGCGCCCTCGCCTGCGCGGAGGCGAGGCGCCGCGGTTTTTGGTGGCTGGCTCCGCTCGCCCTGGGTCCTTGCCCCCCCCCCCCCGTTTGACGTGGGTTTCTTTAAAGGGCAGGAGAAGAAACAAACGGTGCCAGTTTTTTTTGGGAAACTTTGTCCCCCCGGTTTAACGTGGGTTTTTTAAGGGAAGTCCGAACAAAAAAACACGGTGCCAGTTTTTTTTCTTTTTTTTTTTTTTTGGGGGGGGGGGGTACTTTGATTTCTTTTATTTTTCTCGGGTTTTTCACTCGTGAAGCCAATGGCTGCATTTTGTTGGGTGGTCCCTCACTTGGCGACAGAAGCAAAAAGTTCGGCAAGGGAACAAGGTGACCCTCGGATTTCCGGCTTACCCTCGGGTTTTGTGGCGTATGCTTGGTTTACTTGCCAAATGGCGGGCGTCCACCGTAGATCCATCACTCGTAAAGTCGATTGAAAGTGCACGTCCTTTCCTTCCATTTGGTTAAGTTTTTTTTTTTTTTTTTTTTTTTTTTTAATAAAATAATTAAAAAAAAAACACATTTTCTCGTGTTGGTTTAACAGGGAATCTATCACTACCGGAAAAACATTTTTTTTTGTTTAAATCCAGTCCAGGGGGCTTGAGCAAATGGAGGTGTCACTTGGTAAGATGGGCTCCTTTGACGGCAATCATGGGTCGCGCCTTTTCTGGGTAGAGAAGCTTGGCGCTGGATCGGTAGGACACTCGACGATGCAACTCTACGTACCCCCCCTCCAACTAACAGCACCAGACATGGGGTCCCTTGAGGAAATCAGTCTTCCAGGTACCCAGAGGTGCCATGGCAACGTGGAAGGGAGGGTACCATTGCGGCAGAGGCCTTCAAGCGGCATCATCTCGATGTGCCTTGCGTCGAAATGATTCTTCAAACCGATCCCGGGCGGCTCGTCATTTTGCAGGATCTGGCCCCCAGAAATGTGACGTTTTCCGTTGAAACAAACCAGAAACAAAGGGATGCACCGTATGGGTCTGTTTGTTCTTGAGAGGGCCTCGTTTTGGGTGGTCGGAAAGGGCAACCAGAAGGACAACCACCCATTTTTGGGGTCCAAATCCCTACTGGTCGTGTCTCCCCCCCGTATGATGGACACTTCGGGTCTATTTTGGCAACCTCCTTCTTTTAGGGCACTGGCTTTTTGGGTTCCGCCGCAAAATCAACTCCAAGTCTCCATGTGGCACGGCTCCCCCCACGAAAAAGACCCACCTCCTCCCCTTCCCTCCTCCCCCTCCGTGCCATGGACACCTAGCGTCAATTTTGCACCCACGAGCCCGAAAAAAAACAATACCCTAAAGCAGGAGGTTGCCAGACTAGACTCGTCCCCCACCTCGCGACATTTGGGTACAGGTCTCATGTGCCCATTTAGCAGGCAACCTGGTTTGGGGGGAAACCCCAAATGCTTGACCCACTGCCAACTGGTTTTGGCGTCAACACAGGGGAAACCTACAAGGGGTCGAGAAGATCCCAATAGAAATACCTCCCGGGCAGTGCCCTCCCCCCAGCCCCCCCCACAGCTTCCCCCCCCCCCTCGGCTCCGGGCGGCCCCAGCCCCGCAGGTGACGGAGATCACCGCCGCAGAGCTGCAGGCCACGGAGCCGGGGCCCGCGGCGGAGCGCTTCGCAGGCGGCTTCGCGGCTTCGAGTTGGGCGAGTTGGTGGGGGCGAGCCGGGCCTTCGAGGGGGCGAGCCGGGTAACGTCAGGGAAGTGGAGGGGCCAGGTGAAATTTGCCCCGGCGGATGGAGCTCCATTTCGCGCCGCTCTGAAACCAGAAACCGTAGCGTTTGTGGGTATTTAGAGGGGAATCAGAATTCCAGGGCTTCTTAGGTGGTGCGAAGCGGAGTTCGTCCACAGTAGCATGGTTAGAAGTCTGCGTGTGGGACATTTCACCTGGCTTCCTCACCACTTCCCTGAAGGGGACCAAGTGATGTAGTGCGAGTCGCCGTATAGCGCATCAAAGCTTGGGTGGTGGTTTGGATTGCGGGGGTGGCAAGGATTCATGATTTTTACAACTTCCTTGGAACATGGCGTAGAACTTTCTCGGCAAAAAAGCATCGGACAAAAAAACAACTGGCCACGGCGGTTGAAGCAGGTCCTTCGGCGGGGGGGGAAGAGATAGATGGGTTTCCACTCATGATGGGGTGTTATGCCACCCAGGAAACCAGGGGGAGCCCCTCGATGTTGAACCAAAAGGGGTCACCCACCCAAATACGCCGACGCGTCGATTTTCACCGAGCGGCGCTGCGCGCGGCCAAGCGGCGCGAGGCGCAGCGGTGCGTGCCTCCTTGGCCGCGGCGGGGGCCTCCAACGTGGCGATGCCGGGAGCCTCGGCCCGGCGGTTTTGGGCTTCTTGGGGCTTCGAGGGCCATGGGGGGCTCAGTTGTTCAGTGGCACCAAAATCCTTTTCCCTTTTTCCCCCTTTTTTTTAGGTGGCTGCCCCACCAAAAATGGTCCTCAAGCCCCAAAAAAGGGCTCCAATTCTTTTTTTCCAGGGTCACTGAAGCACTGAGGGGATCGAGAGGGGTGAGTTTCGATCCAATCCATGGGTCGCTTGTCCCCAGTTTTGACGGGGGGGGGGGTGATCAAAAGGTCTGTGATACGTGGGACGACTCCATGGGCTGGAAGACCACGAGAAAAAGATGCAATGCTTCAATTAAGTTGCCCATGGTCATTTGTGGGTCGGGAAAATTAATCAACCCCCACATCGTACTTGCTGTCTGGCATTCACGAGCAGTGCTCAGAAGTAACACATGGCACGCACGCCAAGCCAAGGCAACACGTTTTTGGAAGCTTCGACGCACAGATTGCCCTGGAAAAGGATGGATGCAGGGACCTTGTACCTCGGTCGCTCGCGCAGAGGCCAAGAAACAGATCAGCCCCCCCCAACTGCAATGAATGTATACGTGAACCGGAATCAACCAGGGCTTCGCAGGGAGTGCACGTGGCTGCCATTCGCACGGTGCCTCCTGCAAAAACACACACCCTCTCTCAAAATCAAGACATCAGCTTTCAAGCACAATTGCCTTTTGTTGGATGTTTTTTCGTCCTCAAATGGACTTGGGAGTGCAGACCGGGCCGGAAAGCGCTCCTGCGAAACCCGACGCCGGCTGGCCCGCCATGCGCTGGGCTTTTGAGCAGCTCCTGCAGAAGCTGCTGTCGGTGGATGCGCAGAGCCATGAGGAGCAGAACTGGCTGGCGCGACGGGTTTGGGCGAGGGTTTGGGGAGGTGGGTGGGCTGGGGTGGGGGGGTTAACTTTGTTTCTTTTTCCCGGGTGTCCCCTATGTTGACACGCACGATTGACGATGTGCTGTGACTGGAAAAGCAAAGCGCTTTGGCACGTGCGTGGCGTTGCCAACTCTGAAGAGGCTGACCTGGGGTCTCCAGAATCAGAGACGTGCCTTCGCGTGTCAGCAACGCAGCAATCTCGGCGTTGCACATGTTGCAGGCCAAGCGCTGTCCAATCTCAAACCGAACGCATCGTAAAAAATGCTGCAGACCATAAATCACGAGCGCGTGCGTGTAGAACTTGAGTACAGCGTGGTTCACATTGGGAATGAGCTGACATTTTGCCCTGGGTTGAGCTACGGCATGTTCCCTGGCTTTGTGAGCATGGTGAGGCGTTTCGGCTTTTTGACATGAGTTGCTCAGCGTTTCCCACGAGGGGAAAAGCTTGGCAGGCAGACGTGGAGCTGCATGTTGCCTTCTAGCAAGTTCACTCTACGATTCTCAGGCCTCAGAGGACAACCAAGCAAAACTGGCCCTGCGACCACACATGCCCATCCCAGTAAACTGCTGGGCATAAAGGGCGCAAGTTTTTTTTGGGCGGCGCCCAGCAAGTCTTTGGGCGCATTCATTTTGCCAAGGGATGTTAGGACTGAACGACTTTTTGCCAACTAATGTTGGTTTTCCGAATTAAACCACTAAAAGTCATTCACTTGTAGCAGGGAGCAGAACGCAATCCCAGCCAGTGCTCAGCTCGCGGCAGGTGGGGCTGTCTTGTCTCATGCTGGCGACGCCGGCCATCTTTGCCGCGCAGGCGGGGCGCTCCTGAAGACCTCTCACCCCTTTTTTGGTTGGGAGGGTTCCCCCTACTAAAATCGACTACAGAAAAAAAGATAGCGCCCCTGTTTTAATTAACCTCTCCACTGGAGGACCTAGAAGTGGTTTTTCGCGGTGAGCGGTTTTTTGGGTTCGGTGCCTTTGGGGCAGATGTTCAGCCCGTCTGCCGGGCTCGGAGAACTCCTGGAGTTCCGTCCACTCAGGTTCCACCAAAATGGGCAGTGAGCAGAGGGAAGGTGGCGGCGCAGTTGTGTTTGCCTGGCCCCGACGGAATCAACTTTAAGCAGAGCCGGTGCTGATTGTAGGCGGGGACGTCCTGTGATGATTGTAGGCCCTTAGGCGGGAATTACTGGAAATCCTGTATCTATGCAATCTCACGGACCTATCGCACCGATCGCAAGCAAAGACGATTCGCCTCGATTCGCCAAGGAAGCCGACTGGACTACCGTTGGCTTCTCCGTCGTCGTGACGGTCACCTCTTTGTGCGCCGACTACCTCTTCATTGGCTCAGCGCCTTCGACAAGGGCTTTAACCTAGGCGTCTTCTTGTTTGTGGACTCGGTACCTTTTTGGGGCTACTATGGGCTACTTTAAAGGGACATAACAGGGAACGCCGCTGTTTGGGGAGTGCCTTGTTTTACTACACGCCCAGATTTCCCCACGTCAAGGGTGGCTTTAAACATCGCCAAATGGGGATCCCTTTTTGATAGGGCTGATGTTTTAAGGGCCTACGAAAGGAGATTCCTCTACTTTGGTGCATTTTGCCAAGGGAGGTTAGGACTTTAACTTTTTGCTAACCAGTAGGTTTTCGATTAAACCACTAAAAGTTAAACTTTTAGCAGGGGAGCAGAAAGCAGCCGAGTCTAGACCTGACCGCTTTGTTGGGTGGGAACTCGGTGGTTTGGGACGGGGCGGCAGAATGTGAAGAGCTGATCTTCGGGCAAAGGTAGTCCAACAGGAGGCTGCTTAGAGATGGCTGCTTCAACATATTGAGTTTAAGCAGTGGCTTTCCGGGGCTCTTCAGGACTTCTTTGCTAGGCCTGGCACACGACACATTAGGGTCGCTTTGCGGTGGCTCCAGGTTTCGTGTGTTGTCCCTCTGGGCTGTGCAAGAACACGAAGTGGTGCCTTTTTTGCCTTTTTTTGGGGAAGGGCGTCCCTTTAAAGTCAACCAACCAAAAAGGGTGCCCTTTTTTCCCATGGAAATCCACTGGGCATCTGAGAAGAGGGCTGCCACATTTTCTTTGGCTGCTGATGCAACGAGGAACATGTCTGTTGCCCGGACCTACATTTTTTGAGGCGTCTTGGTGCACGTGAGCTTCTGACAAACCTATTTGGCCATGGGGCAGAACCTATGGCTCCATTTTGGGGTGGATGAGCATCCATTTGCCACCTATGTTGATTTTTACCAGGGGTACAGGGTTTTGACCCACAGCCATTTGTGGACTATTGTTGGTTTCAGGTGGACGATGGGCGGGGAGAGTCACATCACCCACAAAATTGGCGGGGGCTCATGTGGGTATGTGCCAAAGCAGGGTGACACTCAAGAGCCAGTGGTTGTCCTTTTGGTTTCCTTTTGGTTTCCCAGAAGAAAAAAAAGAAAGAACAAAAAACAAGCTGCAAAAAGGGACTCTCAAAAACATGCAAGGCACCTTTATACACATCCATGTGTTTTCTTTTTGCGTCTTTGCTTCTCAGAGAGAGAGAGAGAGAGAGAGAGAGATTGTCAGGTGTCCCTTAGTTGTTGGGAACTGGATTTGAAGCCCTGGTTCTTGTGGAGGGTAGAGGGGGTGGGGTGGTAGTTAGCCCGGTTCACCACCAAACCGCTGATTCGGTTCTCTGAATCACTCTCCCACCAACATGGCACCTGACAGGGACCTGGTCCAAAATCTGATCTTGCAGGTACCCTCCCTCAGGTGCCATGGCAACGTGGGAAGAAGGGTAGAGAGAGAGAGACTTTTCGGACATTTTCGAGGCGTGGCACATCATCGATCGCTGGTGCGCCATCGCTTTTGCCTTGTACATGCAGCTCGGCAGACGTCATGGGACAGTTGAAGACGCTTTCGGATTAGGAGGTCCCGGCCCAGTTGACCAAACAAAAAAAGAGGTCAATCTTAAAAGGGAATCTGGGGGGTAGGGGGTACCAAACTTCTGGCCAGCCAATTGGACGCATCGCAAGCTTGAAATTTTATCACTCGACAGGAGAACCCCGCTGCTTCCGGTTGAGATAGTAGGTAAGGGATTTTACCTGAAGGTTTTCGAGATAGAAGTGGTTTCCCTGGTTATCTATGGGAAGAAGCTTTTCGTTTATCAGGTCGGGGGTTCCCATGGGAATCGGCATGTTCTGAACAGGGCTCCTTGAGATATCTGGGGTTAGCCCTTCGATTCATTGGGCAGCCTTGGGTTCAGAAACTCCCCGGGTCTCGAGCAGCATGGTCCTGGTAGCGGCTCTCCTGATGGCTCTGGTGCCTGGAGTAATTCGCCGGCATTGATGGCAAAATACCTAAGGCTTAAAACAAGATCTAGGTCCCCCAGCTAGGTGCCCGACCTCTCACCAACCTTTTTTGGTTCGAGGGTTCCCCTACGAAAATAGACTACAGAAAAAAGAAACGGTACCCTTATTCTGACCTCCTAGAGATGAGGTGTCTTTGTTTGTAGTGGCGTCCCGCTACGATTCTTGATTAGGGATCCCCCCCATTCTGAACAACCCACTTAACAGAGACATGCTCCTAAGAAGCCGACGCCAATGGTTCTTACGTTCACAGCATGATTCGTGCATTTCCCCCTGGGCTCCGAGCAATGACTCCTGGATCATGGACGAAAGGCTTCTTTGCATGTTGAGAATGGAAGATCTTAGTTTACTGCAACGGCTGGAAGTTAAGCTTAACCTCAAAATACCTAGCAACAGAAAAGGCCGGAAGATCGGCCTTTTGTGACTTGGGAGAACTACATCACCCTGAGAGTCCGGGAGAAGGACATCAACTGCCCAGAAAAACGAGCCCCACGAAGGACTCGCAGATCGAAGTGAGCTGGGTCCCTCCGACGGGGGAAATCCAGCTGGGTCACCCCACAGGGCGAGACACCCCCCAATCAAAGCCAACCAGAATTGTACTCCGGGGCCCCCATTAAACCAGGGGCTGCCTGGATCTCCCCAAATCAAAGGTTGATCAATGTTTCCTGGCGGTTTCCATTAAGAAACGATCGCGTCTTGTAGAGGTTTCCTTTAAAGGGAAATGGCTCGAAAACCCTGAAGTTACC